TTTGGAACCCACTGAAATTTTAGTTAGAGCAAAACAGAAGATTTTTGGGCAAGTAGTGTAGTCTGTCGTGGAGAAGGAGCACCACAGGGCAGAGTGGCTCAGCGAGTGTGCTTGTAAGAAGATGCGTGATTCCAGGGGGTTGATGTGGGTTTTTTTGTTTTTTGTTTTTTGGGGTTTTTTGTGCCTACAGTTAGGAAATAAAGGCTGAGGCTGATCTCTGAGTATTTGAGGAATGGGAATATTTGCAGTGAATACTGTTTGGAAGTGTTTGAATTGCTGTGAAGGTACAATCTCAAGAGTTAACAGCCTAGCAAGCAGAAATATAAAATTGTCAGGATTGAAGATGAAGGGAAATGTTTTCATGTCAAGAGCCTGAGAGACACTGAGACTGATACAAAAAATAAAACAGAAAGCTGAAGAATCTTTGGAGAGAGGTTGAGGACTAAACCTTAATTTTTCTGAGTAGAAATTAAGAATATGGACTGAAAAGGGGACCTTTGAAGTGATAAAATGCAACCAGGATGATTTGCTGTGCATTAATCCTAGAGGACAAGCTTACTGGTACTGTATTATAAAGAAAGTAAGGAAGTGCACTGTGGTCCAGAGTAGGTAGCAGTCTCTTGTGTTTTTTGGTGTTTGTCAGACTAGCAACCCTATTTATGCCATGCAAGAACACAGACACTCAGGATGCAGTAAGTACCTGAAAGATAGTGAGACCACCTTTGAATTCCCGAGATTCAAATATGCATGTGTCAACAAATGTCATCCTGGTCTGAAAAGTCTTTCCAGGTGCTTGTTAATAGTAGAATTCTCTCACTAGTCCTAGAGAACGCAGCTAGGTTTATATTGTTTCTACATTGATGCATTAGTATAAGAACCACATTGTCCCCAACTCCCATGTTTAATCATGCTGTCTTATTTACCAACCTAGGTCTGAGAAACATCTTACCTATTACAACAGCAAAGGTGCCAATTGTGAAATTCTTCCACTTGAGAAGTGGTCTGGAAGTGGACATCAGTTTGTATAACACACTGGTAAGTGCTGCAGGCTTTTTTTTTTTTTTTTTTTTTTTTTTTCATTTTAATTTTTTTTCTTTTTATCAGTACTGGGGATCGAACTCAAGACCGCCTGCTTGCAAGGCAGGTACTTATGTCACTGAGCTAAATCCCCAGGCCCAAGCAGGCTTTTTCTTTAAGGTAGTATGAGAAAAGAATGTGTCTTAAGAATTCTCAAGTTAAATGAGCCATTCACTTCATCTTGTTCATTTTTTCAAGAGTTATTTATGAGTGGGCAGGGTGGTACACACCAGGAATCCCAGCACTGAGGGGCCTGAGGCAGGAGGACCACAAGTTCCAGCCAGTCTTGGTAATTTTGAACTTAGTGGGCCAGGGATTTAGCTCAGTGTCGTAAGCGCCTGTCTGGCAAATGTAAAGTCATGAGTTCCATCCCTGGTACCAAAAAAAAAATTGAACTTAGCAAGACCCTGTCTCAAAATTTAAAAAAAAAGATTGGAAATGTCACTCCATGTAAAGACCCTCGGTTCAACAGTACCCTGAGTACTGTTTTTTTAAATAAATAAATAAATAAAAAGTTTTATTCATGATTGCTTCTCGTGTCCTAGCAGTGTTCAAGACTGAGAACATAGCAGGATTCAGTTATGCTTCCTGTTCACTTAAGTAAAGGCAGAGTGGTGGGCTTGCGCCTGCCTGGGAATTTATTGTGATATGGGGCTGAGTCCTTTCCAGATGCACCCTGGTGCATCCACCTCTCTTTTGGGCTAACTGACATACAGCTTGCTTCGGGGCTTTGTGGGAATTCCTGGGTCCCCAGGGGGCACATGGTTAAAATAATGCCACACCCGAGGGTTTAACTCAGTGGCAAAAGTGCCTGCTTAGCAAATGCAAGGTCATGGGTTCAATCTCCCGGTACCAAAATAAAATAAAATAAAGCCACGAAGGAAAGAAAGGGGATCACACGTCGCTTAATGGGCACTGATTATTTTAGTAGCCCTCATTTTCTAGATTTCAGGGTAAGAATGTACCAAGATAATGGAAGTCATAGGTCAGATATTATAGTTCTTCATTATCTGGCTTGTCTTTGGAAAGAGAAGTTGATCTCAGTGTCTTCTTAACGATATGTCACTATAGACCTTTTAAGGATATCCCAGTTTAAATGTTTTTTATCTGATAGTTTTACAGTATAATTTTTCTTTTAATAGGCCCTTCATAACACAAGACTTTTATCTGCTTATTCAGCCATTGACCTCCGAGTAAAATACTTATGTTATACAATGAAAGTGTTTACAAAGGTGAGTGTGCTTGTGATTTATTAGGATGTTTCATTACATCTTCAAACCTTGTTTAGAACATAACTCATGCATTTTTTGATGAAAAATCAAAACGCTTCCTGTTTTGGGAAGCCTAACTACAAGATAGCATTTCATTGTCTTAAATGTTACATGATAATCTGATCTTAACTTGAGATTGACAGCCCACCCCTTTTTTGGATTCAGTGTGGTTGGTTGGTTTTGTTGACATACTTTAACCTGTGAAAATACGAATAGTTTTGTTCTTAATGAGTTCCTCAAATAAGCCTTCACTTCTAGTGAGAATAGGTTGGCCACAAGTTCAGCAGGAAGCACTGGTGATCTTTCCTTTGCTATCTTCCTTTCCTCTAGATGTGTGACATTGGTGATGCGTCTAGAGGCAGCTTATCATCATACGCATACACTCTTATGGTGCTGTATTTCCTCCAGCAGCGGAGTCCACCGGTCATTCCTGTCCTGCAGGAGGTATTCATAGAAGAACGTTTTCCTAGTTTTTATATCAATGCTTAATCTTGTAATCCTTACTAACAGTTTAAAAATTAATTTCAGATATACAAAGGTGAAAAGAAACCTGAAATATTTGTTGATGGCTGGAATATTTATTTTTTTGATCAAATAGATGAACTGGTACGTATTTTAAGAGTAAAGATTTTTCTGCATACTTACCTAAATTAACTATGCTTAAGTGTACATTATCAGTAACAATATTTTTATTTACTGTATTTGTTTATAATAGTAAAAAGGATGAGTTTCTCGTTACTGTTCAAGAGAACATTTCTTTCATGCCTAGTAATTTCATTGATCAGATAATCATTCCAAAGGAGCAAGAATTTACTCTGGTTTTGGTACCACAAATTTGGAAAGCCTTACGTTGAGCTCTTGAGACCAATAACCTAGGCATCAATGCTTTTAGAACTTTTTTCCACATTTTTCCACTAACATTCTGAGCTTTGAGCTCTCCCAATTTCCAAGTCATACAGTAGAAATTAATAAACTGTTGTGGAATAAAAGGTGAAACAAAAGTCATATAATTACGTTTTTAAACTCTGATTAGAAGTAAGTCCAAGTTTACTCCCTGAAATAAAAATGAATATCTATGTTAATACTTTAAAGTGTAATATACTTGTTCCTTTCTGTTTCTAGCCTACCTATTGGCCAGAATATGGGAAAAATACAGAATCTGTTGGACAGCTATGGCTGGGACTTCTTCGTTTCTACACAGAGGAATTTGACTTTAAAGAACATGTTATTAGCATCAGGAGAAAAAGTCTACTTACAACTTTTAAGAAACAGTGGACCTCAAAATACATTGTTATTGAAGGTACCAATAAAACCAAACTTAAAATTGAGAAAGAGATTTAAGCTACAGGAGTATTGTTCTTCCTTCTAACACAGTTGCTCTGGAGCAGCCGTGAACTGCTCTTGTCCATACCGGTCTGACTTGTCTGTTTCCAGCCTAAGACTGATGCCCTCTTGTGGACTCTCTTGAAGTCTAGAAGTCTGCATACAGGAAGAGGGAGCCATGAAACCAACAGCATCAAGACAGTGGGACCCCTTTATTTAATCCTTAGGCCTAACCTACCTGTCCATAAGATCCCACCCTCAACCAAGGACAGGGAGAAGTCTTGGCCAGAAGAAATCCAAGGGCAGGCTGACAGACCAGCCAGGGAGCCAGTCAGATTCTAGGAGCCGCCCTGGGACAAGGATCTCAAAAAAAAGGAGCCACAGAAAAAAATCCTTGAGTATGTCCCTTTTGAATACACCTGAATTACCCAGAGTGGCTGTTGGTCATGTCTCTCTTTCTTCTCCCTTGCCCTCTTCAAATAAGTTGTCTTATTTAAGAAAATAAAAAAAGACAGTGAGACTTGTAAAAAAAACTTCTCTAATTCAAGCTTAGAGAACACCATCGAGTGAATATTCAAGATCTTTTATTTGCTCTCAATAAAAGAATTTACTTATAAATATTTTATGAAAATGTCATAGTTATTGTCACCAAATGAAAAAGGCTTTTTCTTTTCCACTGAATGCAGGGATCCATTGGAATAATTAATGTTTACAGCTGATTGTTTATTTCAGCTTGTAAGCATTTTAATATGACAGAATGGTGTTTAAAATACTCTAAAATAAGCTGAGACATGGCTCAGGTAATATTTGGTTGATTTTGATAGGAATATTTTTCTTTTATTTTTTAAATATACACATATCACCTAACTGAAGTGGGTTATTCTAAGTTACATGATTACTTCTGCCTTTTGATTATATTAACGTGTAATACTGTGAGCATTATAAAATGCTCTCAGTAAATATCTGCCAGTTATTAATATTTTGGTTTTAATTCTTGAAACCTTACCATCTTTTGCTTTTAATTTTTATGTTACTTTCAGATGAGCTATTAGTAATGGACTAAACTAGAAAAAAAAAACTTCATTCATAATTATATAACCAGCTATTCTAGAACTGAAAATTTCAATTATAGTAGTAGCTTTTAACTGCACAGCATCTAATACTTTAATACTGTTTCTACTTTATCAAGCAGACAACTCAAAATACATCCACACAAACCAACAAGAATCACCAACAGAAACAGGACCCAAATAAACAAGAAGATAACCTTCTTTAGCAGTTAAACCACAAAAAGGGCCCTGTTCTCTAGTAACCTGTCAGTCTGCTGGACGTCAGTTACTGTTGGTAGAAGCCGGACTGGCAGAGCAGCATGCCGCTTTATACTTCTTCACTCCTTTTGTGTATGCTGTGGACAGGCAGTCAGCCATTGTCTTAGTGATGAGATCCCCAGGAAGGATTAGCTCGTTTTTTGCCTTTGCCTTATCAGTTACCATTTTTGGCACATGAAAAAAAAAGTTAACATTTACTCAACACTTGTTGTCTAAATTATGAATCATCACATGCAAATACTAAATCACCTTTAAATTGTATTTAGATTTAGAAATAGCGCTTATACTCCCATTTTTTTCTCAAAACCATGTAGACCTCATACATATATCTTTGACATGTGTGTGCTTTTCATCATTCCTACCGCTTTTGGGTCATCTAACAAATGCCATCCCAAAGCACATTATCTAAAATGTTTGAGATGCAGATATTTAAGATTATAGGCATTCTTTGTAAGAAGTTTGCTGGAAATTGTGTTGAGATCCAAGTCATCATTGGCATGCCATTGAAATAGGTGTATTTTTCTATGTGTTTTAATCTGATTAGTATCTGTGATCATCATAATGAAAAGTTGTCCTTAACAGACAAAACATTCAGTGCTAAAATGTTTTTAAATACATTTATAACTTCTGTATGCATCTAAAAGTGGCATCATTTGGTAACATAAGGTCAAAGTATCTTCCAGATATTTTTTCCAAAATCAAACAATCTGTCATAATATGAAGGGTTTTATAAGAAATAAAATATGAAGTAACATTTTTCTGATAAAAAATTTGAAAAGAAAAAACTGGCCTTACACTGAATCTAGGACTATCTACCACTGCCGGTATTATGGGTTTTATGCTCATTTAAAAGGCAGTCATTTAATACTTTTACTAAGAGTAAACAAAGTAGATTATGTCTTTTTATATATATATATATACCTTTTTTTGGTACTGGGAATCAAACTCAGGGTCTTGGCTTGCCAGGCAGGTGTTTAGGCCAGCTATATCCCCAGCCTGGTTATATTTTCTTGTTGTGGACCTTATTTACTAGATGAATAGTTATGTTTCTTATTTGATTATCTTATTGCTCCCTCTAATTTTCTTAGATCCCTTTGATTTGAATCATAATCTTGGAGCTGGATTATCAAGGAAAAGTAAGTTATTTTATTGGTAAATTTTAATGCAGTCTTTCCATTTAATCCATTTTATTTAAGATCTTACTCTTTTCTCCTTAGTGACAAATTTTATAATGAAAGCCTTTATCAATGGTAGAAGAGTATTTGGCATTCCAGTCAAAGGATTTCCAAAGGACTACCCCTCAAAAATGGTAAGGGTCTGTTGGAAATGCCAGAAAAGTTTTGAAAGCACATAATTTGGAGACATTTTAAGCACCTAGTTGGAACATACACTTCAGTAATAATACTCTGGCATTCTGGTCAGTCTGGCCAGGATACATGATTAGAATATAAAGTAATCTCTGAAGACCTTTTTGTTTAGAACAAAATCACAAGGAGAAGTAGGAAAACATGGAGTTTGGGTGAGGGAATTAATGATGCTTTCACTTTTTGCCTTGATAGCACATACCAAGGAAACACAGAGCAGCCCTAAAGCAACTTTGAAGATTAAAAAAAGAAAATCCCTGAAAAGATGAATTTAAGTGTGCTGTATTCTTTGCTTTCTCTTCTTATCCCCTCTTACTGGTGGTCTGTGCCAGCCTGCAGAGGTGGTTCAGTGCATGCCTGTCAGGACACCTCACCTAGAAGCTCAGTTTTATACCTTGCTTGCAAAAGTGGTGTATATAATATGACTGGAAGATGCAGTGCTGCCTGTCCTGGAGAGCTGTCTGTTCTCTGTTAATGAGCATACAGCATAATCCCCAACACACAATCACACACCAAGTTGAGGTTCAGAGGTGGCAGCCCGTCTGAGAATTTTTCCTTAGAAGCTAACTAATAATTGTTAGAGAAAACCCCGCAATTTCACAGAATCCACAGATAGGTTATGCAGTTGTTTTTGGGGCTAGAGATACGCAAGTAGCCAATCTGAGAGCACTGTTCAGTTTTCCTGTTTGCTGCTGATTGGCTGCTGTTACAGCCCATCTGGCAGATGCACCAGCATTCATTCTGGCATCATAGCAGGTTGCCATACCATGTATAACTATCTCAGGTGTTCTCAGTTTTGTTCTTAAAACCCTAAGATGCTGCCAAAACAGCCTGCATCTTCTAAGGCTTGATTAATGTAGTATTTTATTAAATTATATAACTGTGGGGGGCAAAGCATATTGAGGGTTCAAACTATACAAATAGACATTTTTCTGACCATATCTGAAATTCAAGGTTTTGCACAATTTGTGGGTACTCTAGGAATGTAACCCTTGTGAATTTTGGGGGTCCACTAAACAGTATTCATTAAAAGTATTGATAATGTCTCTGGGAGACTGGAGCAGGAGGACCCACCCTGGGCAATTTAATGAGTTAGTGAGACCCTGTCTCAGAAAATAGAAACCGGGGGTGGGAGCGTGGGGGGCGGTTAATGGCTTAGTGCAAGGGCCCCAGTTCAGTCCCCAGTACCACCATCCGAAAGGTTGATGTTGAGATGTAGGATCATTCTTCATGTCTACTTTTCCTCTTTTAGGCATACGTAATTCAGATTTTTATGTATTTATCTTCTAGGAATACTTTTTTGATCCAGATGTGCTGACTGAAGGAGAGCTGGCCCCAAATGATAGATGCTGTCGGATTTGTGGGAAAATTGGACACTTCATGAAGGATTGTCCCATGAGAAGAAAGTGAGCAATTATTTTAAAACAATGTCTTTTTTCTTTCTTCTTTCTTTCTTTTTTTAACATTTTGTTAAGTGTGATTCTGTTGTAACAGAAAATGAACTTTATGAAATCCAGCATATAAGTTTTTAGATAAATTTAAGATTTTTCAAAAAAAGGAAAATAAGCAATTAAAACATAGGTGCAGATGACCAAGGCTGAGTCAGGTGTACAGTCTTCCAGGCCCAGTCCTCCTTCCTGGATCTGGTCGTAGCCTTCATCATTAAATAACCTCTCTAGCAGGGACAGGAGAGGAAAGGAGCAAAGTAAAGTTCTTCTTAGAACTTCAGGATGATTGGAGTCAGTAAATTGTGAAATGGGACCCTTCAGAATCTCAGCTGCATTTTTCTTGTGCAGTAACATTAGTGTAGAGTGGTGTCTTGGAGTATGGGGCCCTCTATTTGTATACTCCTTAACTGTTAATAATTGCTGCAAGTAGGTAAACAGACTTTCTCCTGGAGACATTTGTAGAAGGGCAAAGGAAACACTTTTGGTGACTGGCTTGGGACATACTGTTGTTTTGGGTGGTAGTGATAGTTTTGTTTTTATGGTACCAAAGGTGAAACTCAGGCCTTCACACCGAGCTACATTCTCAGGCCTTAGTTTTGTTGTGGTTAGGTTAGGTTTGGTTTGGTTTGGTTTGGTTTGGTTTTGGGAGTTTTTTTGGTACAGGAAATCAAAATCAGGACCTTGCACTTGCCAAGCAGGCGCTGTGCGGCTGAGCTATATCCTTGTTTTTTAACGTTTTGAGACAGTATCTCACTAGCCTCCCACAGTGCTGCAGTTATAGGCATTAATGGTGGTACTGTAGTTTTAAGTTACTCTTTGTTTGTAGTTCAGTTTGGTTTGGTTTTTGCAGTGGTGAGGATTAAACCCAAGACTTTGCATATGCTAGGCTCTACTACCAATCTACATCCCCAGCCCCTGGTCAGTAATATTCTTGTTTTAATGTATGCTACTCAAAATAAATTGCTGTGTGGAATTTGAGTAGCCCCTTTTTATTATTTTTTTATTATTCTGGCAACAAATTTGACATTTTAAGATGTTAAATTTTACTACTATCGGGGCTGGGGATTTAGCTCAGTGGCATAAGCGCCTGCCTTGTAAGCAGGCAGTCGTGAGTTCTATCCCTGGTACCAATAAAAACGAAAAAGACCAAAAAAAAAAAAAAATTTACTACTATCATTCTCTTGTGAACTTAAGATTCTACTTCTCAAATTTTGATGTTTAACAAAGAATATTAATGCATTCTCTTTGCTGTTCACGAAATAATCCCCCAGAAAATGTGACTTTAATTACATCAGCATCAAAGCAGACATTAAAGAGATTTGCTCTTTGCAAAGGTGGTTTTACGGCACTAATGCAGCCTTTTGAAAATTAAAAACAAAGGACTCTGAAATACAGTCTGTTCTGTAATACAGCTCTGAAATAGTCAGTTCTCTGTGTCCATGGATAGTCAGTCTCTGTGTTTCTGTATCTCTGTGTCCATGCCCAAGTATTTATAAATCAAAAATGCTTTGGAAAAAAAATACTGGATCTGTACTGAAACCATACAGACTTCTTTCCTTCTCACTGCTTCCTACACAGAATAGTGTATCAGCCTTTTCCTTAGCATTTCTATTGTGTTAGGTATTGTAAGTACCCAGAGATAATTTAAAAGTATACAAGAAGGGGTGAGTAGATTATGCGAATACCACATTGTTCTGTATAGGGACTTGTGCACCTGTCCACCCTGGAACCAACCCCCGTGGATCCTAAGAAATGACTGTAGTTTCTGAATAGAGATGTATTTAAGTCTATTCACTTTAGTTTCATATTGATACCTTTTGTTCACAATTTATCCCTTAAAACTGGTGATAACATATTTCATTAGGTTTTTGTTTGGATTCTGTCCTCCTAAATTCTTTCCTACTAATACTGTCTTTGACAGGGTAAGGAGACGGCAAAATCAGGAAGACACTCTGCACCAAAGATATGCTGAAAACAAAGACAAAAAAAGTAAAGAAGAGAAAGATATTCAAAACAAGCACACAGAAAAGGAGACATCAGCAAGAGAAGACAAGCCTGTGCCATGCGTGGCTCAGAAGGCAAAGATGGCAAGGGTGGCTGCAGATCCAGGCAGGGAGAAGATGCTCAGACCACTTGTGGAGAGGTGGAAGCGGCAGGACAGCACAGACTTTAGAGAGAAGCGCTGCTTCATTTGCGGAAGAGAAGGGCACATTAGAAAAGAATGTCCGCAGTTTAAAGGCTCTCCAGGTACGGAGGTGGATCGCACCTTGATCTTTGTACTGACGTCTCAAAGAAAATCTTGCTAGAGTTTTTTGTATTTTAGTTACATGTGTTTCCTTAGAAATATATTTATAGTTTTACAAAAGCCTATTTGTTCCCAGTATCTGTAAATATTGCCTCAGTAACTAGGAAAAAAGCTCCAGTTTGAACTTTATTTCTTAGTTTGTGAATTCAAGAAATGAAAGCACTATCAGGACAGCACACTGTGTTCCGGCCAGCCACTGTGTCTTAGGCATTTACACACAGCACGTGCTTTGGAGAGGGATCAGGAAACTGGACATAGGGCTACAGGCCTGTAATCCCAGCAATCTGGGACGCTGAGGCAAGAGGACCAAAATTTCTGGCCATCTTGGGCTACTTAGCAAGATGCTGTCTCCAGTGCTCTACAGTTAATTAACAATGATTATATCTGCAAAGAGGAACTGTGGAGGATTTTATCTTTATGTCTTAATAACTTCATTCAGTTGAACATGGTTATTCAGAAAAGAAAGAAGCAATTTATTATTAGTAGTTTAAAGCCATCCACAAATCTGAGCCAGATGTGATTGACACAGGGCTGTATTCCCAGCTATTTGAGGCAAGATGATCATTTGAGTCTGAGTCCTAGGACAGTCTGGGCAGCATAAGGAGACCTTCCTTAAATCTTCCATAAATCTTGCCCCTTTGATTCTTGGTGGGGAAGTGGTCACAGTTCACTAAATATAGAAAGTACCCATTGGAGGCCTTTTTTGTGTGCTAAGGATTAAGCCCAAAGGTACTCTACACATAGCTACATCCCCTGATCTGGTGTTGGTTTCTTTGTAGATGGTGTTTCATGAAGTTGTTTAGGCTGGATTCTGAATTACATTCCTCCTGCCTCAGCCTCCTGAGTAGCTGGTCACAGGCATTCAGCGCCATGCCCCCTGTAGCACCTTTTAGTATACTGTTAGACCAAAGGTACTTAGAATTTTCAGATATAAGTTACCACTCATAAAGAAATGTTTATATTCTCACTTTACTTGTGAGCACACACGTAGGCCTGTGGTAAAATTCAAGAAACATAAAAATGAAACCCTGGGGAACACATTTTAATTAATGTAATTAACCCGAGCCATCCTGAATTGTGTATGTTTGTGAGCAACATTAAAGCAGCGAAGCGTATTTATAATTTCCTTGAAATACTCCAGTGTTCAAAGTTTTTGGAACCTGTCTTCCATTACATTATATCATGTTCAGCAATATATTGTAAAAGCTCTTGAATCATTCATCTGCATTTTTTAAAGGAATGTGTGGAAAGAAGTTTATTTTAAAATATTCTAACCTTTTTAAATGAGGCTGAAATGTTTTTACTTACAGCTTTGGTTAGTTCACATAGCCAGGTTAGTCTTGCCACTCTTCATAGAGCTCCAGAGTTTGCCCTGACCAGAACTTAAGGCAGAATAATTTGATTTTTTTTTTCTAGGAAAAAAGCATAGTTAAAAGAAATTAAAACAATAACACTTGCTAACACTTCTGGAACATTACTGTGGATAATTTTTTTTATTTAACTGCCACAACAACCCCATTAAATTTGCAAGGCAGGCGTTTATGCCACTAAGCTAAATCCCCAGTCCAACTGCATTAAATTTGGTAGCATTAATAACCTCAGTTGTCAGAAGGTACCTGTATAAATAGTAGAAGTAACATTTAGTATATATTTTAACCAAAATAATAGGCTATCCGCTATCAGAACTCAAGGTCCAAGTTTAGTACGTGATTGTAGTGTTCCTTCTCAGTACAAGAAAATGCTAACTTTATCCCCACCTTTGATGGATTTCTTCTTCCTAGCAGTAATTTTTATGATGTTTACTGGTGCAGTTCTCAAAACAATAAAGCAGTGATTCTGGCAGCCTGAGAAGGTAGTGGCAATTGCAAGGAGCTCTCCTGGTGGGGGGGGGGGGGGGGTTAGCAAACCTAACCTGCTTTCTTCCAGATGTAGTGTGCATGTGTTAATGTGAGCATTTGTTGCAGGGGCTGTGTGAGATGAGAGAGGCTTGGGACCAGTAATGGTGTTTCCTTTGGTAGCAGTTAAAAATAATCAGCTTAGTTTTGTCTAAAAACTATTCTACCCCATGTCATTTCTTCAGTCATACTAGTATTATTCTGTCCACACAACATACTGTGCAAAGCTTGTGCCACATCAACAGAAAATCTGTGCACAAGCTTTAAATCAAGGCCATTGCTTTCCGTTGAAAGTCAGAACAAACAGTGCTCTTTCTTTTTCTAGGTGTGTCTAAGTCAGATTGTGGGTTTGGATCCCCTTCTTCTCCCAGTCCTTTGAGACCTGCTGGTCCATTTGCTCAGGTAAACCCAGCTCTGCTGTGAGGCGGATACGGCTCAATCCTGTGCGTTCGCCACACTGGGCACACTTGCCCTGCTGCATGTGCCTTCTGCTGACCTCATGCTCACCTCCTAGCCCTGTGCAAGCACTTGGGGTGGAGGTGGGGGGCCCAGTGCGCTGTGCTGGGCCTTGCTCGCTGAGGCAGTCCTGCATACTTGCCTGTCTTGCTAGTTAGCTTAAAGAATTCTGCCTTCCACACGCCTCATTTCAGCTCTCTTTGGGTGTGTTTCGTTTTGTTTTGTTTTTTGGTACCAGAGATGGAACTGACAACCTAGTGCTTTCCAGGCAGGCACTCATGCTGCTGAGCTAAATCCCTCCTTTCAGCTCTCTTTGGATATGGCTTCAGTCTGTTGTAGATGCACTTGCTTCCCATTTTATAAACCAGTCATTTCATTTTTTAGGCAGTGGTTTTACATGAAGACAAAAAGAAACAAAAAGCAGCAATATTTTTGAGTCCCCAGTCAGGTAGGTTTGGTTTTTTTTAATGTCATTATTTACTGTATTCTTTACCACATGCCATTTGAGGTTCTTTGACTAATGGATTTTAACAAAGATTAGACATCAGAATTCCCCAGGGTTCCTTTAAAAAATACACTTACCTGTCTTCTCTCCCTTAACCTGATTCTTCGGTGGTTAAACATGGGCCTGATGAGCCAGAAGAATATCATCTGATGACAGATGCAGAGAATTATAACGCAGGAAACAGGGAGGAGGATGTCGGTTTTTCGAGGGGTAGCACCTCAACGAGGAACCAGTGAAACAGGGATGAGTCAGGGGACTTTGGAGTCAGCCTGTTACGTCAGAACTCAGATCACTCCTGTCCTAAGTCTGCAGAGCCTGCAGCAGGAGTGGGGCGAGCAGGCAGAGTGCAGTCAGCGTCTGGCTCCTTTGGCTGTGGAGGACTAGTGTTCTTCTCTAAGTGAGCTGAGGAGTCACGTGCGGGTTTTGACCCAAGGGACGCTATTACCCGAAATCAGTGTTTTAAAAGTGTGTACAACTCATGGTGCTGGAACAATAGGGTAGAAAGCAAGGAATCAACAGGGTGACCACCGCGGTAACTCAGGAGTTTAGACTTGGAGATGAAGAAGGAAGTGAGGACAAGGCCGAGTCAAGTGCAGATTTTCTGAAGGTTGCACTGAAGCAATTTACAGACGTGTTGGGTGGTACCAAGGCAAATGAGTCAGATGACACTGCAGTTTTTGGCCTGACTGTGGAAGAATGGAGATTGAATTTATCATACAGGAAAGACTCAGGCAAGGATTTGGAGGAAAAAGTAGAGTCCAGTTCCACACATGGAAGTGTAAGAGAACTGTGAGGAGGCCCAGGCCAGGGAAGGGCTGCACATTTCTAGCCCTGAATCTGAGCGAGTGAGATCACTAAAGAAGAGAAACACATCAGAGCCTCAGGAAGTAAAGGAAGCAAAAGATAAAGTGGCCAGTGGAGTAGGGAACAGAGCCAGAGCTCTGTCCTCGGGTCTGCACAAGGCAGGTGCGTCTGAGAGGAGGCCTCACCCCACGTGAATACTGTTGGAGCTCTGGGACCAGCCTCCCCCACCGTGCCACCAGTGGCTTTTAAGAACGCTGCATCCCTGGAGTCAGGAAGACCAAAGCCTGACTGGCCGGGAGGCCAAGAAACATTTAAAAAAGCCCCCTCGGCTCGCAAAGTAGTGCAGAAAGGGTACTTGTGCATCCTGAAGGGAAGGGAAGAGTAACGTGAAAAGGGAAAGCGAAATTGTTGTGCCTTGTTAGTAACTTTGGGGGTATTTGTTAGTAAGACACATGCATCCGAATTACAGCTGCAAATACTCTTACAACTTTGTTTAACAGTCTCTTTCTCTGTCCCTCTATGTCTTATTCAATAGAAGAAGTTAAGCAAGACAAATTACAATATAGTATCCATGGGATTTTTACATAATTGTATATTTTATAAGAAAAACTGTTTGAAATTTTAAAACTTCATTGGTATGACTTGACATTTGTGTATATTAATGTAAAACAAGTCACATACAATGGTCCCTCTGTATTCATTGCTTCACTTCCTGCAGTTCTCGATAATTTGGTCAAGCACAGTCTGAAAGCACAGTCCAGTACAGCAAGATACTTTGAGAACATTTGCCATGTACAAATATCTGTTATTGCAGTGTATTGTTACTGCTGTATTGTTACTTATTCTTAGTTCTGAATGACTTGATTGGGAAGCCTAAGGTGTACAGGGCTCCCCTTGCACACATCCAATGTGTTCTGTGTTTAGCTCTGCTACACCATCACATCATATTGCCAAAGCAGAGTTAGAGATGCTTTCAGGGTAGAGAAATGTCAGTGTTGCTAACAGTCTCCACATTTCCTTGCGTTGGTGTCAGCCTTCAAGGAATAGTCATTACAGTTGTAGGGCAGATTTCCTGAGCTCCACACTAGAGTTCGTTTTTGTTGTCCTGGCTCAGTGTCACAGGCAGGGCACTGTGGTCTCACTCTGGATAGCTGCACAGTCTGCTTTGAATGTTGTTAGCAGGAGGAAAGGTAACAGCATCATTGACTTACCCAGATATTCAGGTTTCCTTCAGTACTTTATGGATTTGTAGGGTTTGGAGGTGGAGGGATGGAGGGAAACATGAAACATTAGCATTAGTCTCTTCACAGGCAGAATTTTAAAGAAATAGAAAAAATCTCCACAAATGTATGACCCCCTTGGACCCAGTAAGGAAGTGGCAGCTCCATGGAGGTAAACAGCGGCTGTAGGAGGGACTTGAGTCTGGGAAGGTTTGGAGTGTTCAGGGAGGGGTGTGTGTTGGAAGCGAGCCCAACAGGCGGAAGTGAGGAAAGCACAGGGAGCTCACTCCCACAGGCAGCTCACTGAGTGGAGAGCGAGTGAGGCCAATGGCCTGACTTCAGGGCGTGGAGGGCTTGGGAAACATGCCTAGATCCTCAACTCAGGATCATACAGATCCAAGTGTAAACAAACCCAAAGAATGCTGTTTTGACCCTGAGCAGATATTTCCAGAACGTTTTACACAGGAACACCACCAGTTCTTGCTTGATCAGAACACTCACGTTGCTAAAATCAGCTCTGCAGTCAGACTTCACAGGCTGATTTCCATCTGTGTCATGTGAAGCGCCCTCTGTCTCCTTCAGGTGCCTCACTTTTCCTGTCTGTCAGAGGGGATGACCATCAACACCCCAGGGCAGGGATGGGGAGACTCCCATCAAGAGCACCTGGAGCAGAACCTGCAGAGGGGAGCATGGAGCTTCTTCTCTGGCCTTGAGTCCTCCTCAAGGTGCAGCGTCCCTTCCTCCCCAAGGAGAGTGGGGAGGGTGGACCATTGCAGGGACTTTGGCTGCCCGTTGTCACCCTCCCCCTGCATGCGCACTGACATGGTGCCTTAAGTGCATCTCAGAGGAGAGTGGCCAGTGGGAGCATGGCTGGAGCCTGAAATCCAGCCCCACCAGTACTGATCAGGTGACCCACTGCATTTCCATTCCTTTACCAGTCCATCAGAGTTAACATTCACAGGAGCTCGTAAAAGGTGGCTTCATAAAGATGGAGAACTCACAGAACACCTCACTTAGGGGCTGGTGATTTAGCTCAGCGGCGTAAATGCCTGCCTTGCAAGCAGGCAGTCGTGAGTTCCATCCCCGGTACCGATAAAAAAAAAAAAAAAAAAAAAACCTCACCTACTGCAGGACTCAGTGAATCCCCACGCCCTTTGTTATTAGTACCACTCTCTCAGAGAGCAAATTCATAATAGAGATTTTTTTCTTAACAAAACAAGCATATAGAGATTGCAGCGCAAGTTACAAATAACCCAGTGAAAATTACTTTAAAAACAAAACAACTACTTGTTTCTTCATTCTATTTTTATCCCATGCCTTCAAATCATAAAATTCTTTTCTCCCTTGTGATAATGTGTATTTATACAGCTTTTATCACTAAGCAGAAATTTCAAAGCCTATGGTCTTGTCTTGTTTTGTTTTGTTTTTGTCTTTTTATCGGTACCAGGGATTGAACTCAGGACTGCCTGCTTGCAAGGCAGGTGCTTATGCGCTGAGCTAAATCCCCAGCCCCAAGCTAAATCCCTAGCCCCTATAGCCTATGGTCTTAATGATCATGAATTGAAAACAGTAGAAATCATTTTAGAAAAAAAGTGGAAAAAACTCAAAGAATATAGATCATACTTTATATACCCTTGATATTCCTGTTGACTAGCCTGTCATACTTACCTACCACAAAAAATTTATATCAGTTGCGTTCTAAAGCTTTTTTCAAATCTCAAAAAGTGTAAACATTTCTTCTATGTTGTTTTCTCAATTATTAAATCAGATCAAATTTTGATTAAAAAACACTCTTGGCCTGGGGATATAGCTCAATAGTAGAACATTTGTTTGGCATGCTTAAGGCCCTGTGTTTAATCCCCAGTACCACAGTATAAATGTACAATTACTGAAAATGACTTTCCCTTAAGGAGGTGGATGGACTGTTTCCCCAAAAAGTCATGTACTCTCGGGGCTGGGGATTTAGCTCACCGGCATAAGAACCTGCCTTGTAAGCAGGCGGTCATGAGTTCAATCCCCGGTACCAATAAAAAAAAAAGTCATGTACTCTCATCAGTATTATTTGCATGAGTGAAAGAGTGCCTTATTTCTATTTCTAATCTGTTTTTATAGTTGGCAAGCATTGAGAAAATTAATAGTCTTTATAATAGCAAATTTAAAACAATAGAAAAATGCTTTAAGAGTTTAGAAATGATCAGTGTATTATAACAGTGTCCCTCAGTTAGTTATAAAAGTACTTCTTAATGATGTCACCAAAAATCACAGCAATACGTAATAAAAAATTATTTGTAATCATTATCACTGTAATTTGGTAAAACCTAAAAATTATTCTTTACTAGCAGCATTCATACCAATACAGATACCAGCATTTTATTTGCCTGCTACACACTTCTCAGAAGCCTTTTAATACAATAAGACTATGAAGAATTGTGGGGAGAACACTGCACCCCCCAGTCCCCAGTTGGGTAGCGCTCAGTCACAGTAAGCGCACAGTGTACCTGCATCTTTCCAGAGACATTCTCATATTTGTGTCTTCAAGAAATCCACATAGGGGCTGGGGATTTAGCTCAGCGGCATGAGCGCCTGCCTTGCAAGCAGGCAGTTGTGAGTTTGATCCCCGGTACCGATAAAAAGGAAAAAAGACAAAAAAAAAAAAAAAAAAAAAAAGAAATCCACATAGAGCCAGGCATGGTGGTGCACGCTTGTAATCCCAGCACTCTGGAGGCTGAGGCAGGAGTATCATTGCAGGTTCAAGACCACCCTGGACTACACAGTGAGCTCAAGGCCAGCCTGAACTGAATAGCAGGACCCTGTCTCAAAAAGACAAAAAACCGGAGCTGGGGATTTAACTCAGTGGTAGAACACTTACCTAGCAAGCTGGAAGCGCTGGGTTCGGTCCTTAGCACCAAAAACTGAAAAACAAAAAATCCACAGAAAAAAACACAAAAGAAAAAAAAAAGAAATCCACATAAATGCTCTAGTAGAGGTTAGAATGTTTACCACTGGGAAATGCATCACCTAAGGTTTAGATAATAAGATACATATCCCTTTCTTTTGTAAAGTGAGAAAAGGGTAGTTGTGAAAGGGGAGTTTGAAAGGAAGAGTGGAGTGATTGAGAACCAACCCAAAATGGTGACAGAATATCTCAGTTTTAAGAAAAGTACATAGAGAAGTTGAGGTACCGGGGACACTGGGATGTAGCTTAGCAGTGAAGTACATATTTAGCACATGCAAGGCCTAATAAAAGCCTAGTCTCTAGTGCCAAAAAAAAGGTTGAGGAGCTGGAAACTTGATTCTTGCCCACATACCTGGTCAGGTAAGTTGGAGAACACACAGACCCAAGTTTGATGACCTTATTTGTATGACCCTGTAAAGTGTACTTACTGATTCAGTTATTTTGTGAAGCTAAATCTTCACTAATATGTATAAAAATTGAAAAAGTACATATATTTCAACCATGATGGCAAAATTACTAAGTGGTAATTGTTGGCTATCCCAGAAAGTCCTTGCCAAATATGTCCCAAAGCCTGGCTTTCCTGGGGGAGTCTTTTTGTGTTTTTCCAATCATTTAAAATTTCTGTAATTACTATCGAATTCACATTTCTCACGTTTATTTATGTTTATATTATATATATATATATTTGTGTCAGAATAGTCATCTCTTAATTTTCAAAGCAATCAAATGTATTACAGTATTCTTCACCAAGAATAAACTCCATTGTATTCTTTCAACCTCACTGAGACATACTTGGTTTCCAGTGAGGTTTATAAAATTTTATAAATTTCGTATTTTCCCCTGGATTATATAAAGTTAGAATTGTGTTTCATTTCTAATACTTTTGATTTTTTTACACGTATAATTTAAAATTTTAAATCTTACATGTGCCCAGGTGCGTTTTTACATTTAAATTATATATTATAGAATACAGTAAGTGTTCTACATCCTACCTTTTCATGTCTACTTAAAATGATGTTAAATTTTTTTTACATGTTACTGTAATACAAATGTACTTTTTCTTACAGTATTCCATTCTATAGAAACAACATACTTTATAATTCCATTACCCAGGACATAAGGATTTAGATTATATTTCTTTGCTATTACAGTCAATACTGTAGTGAAAGTTATTGTAGGATGCACTATGAGAGACTGTATAGGCTTACCAGTCAGATGGGTCATGGTACATGTGTATTTCATATCCCCTGCTGGCTGCTATCATATCCCCTACTGGGAGCTCCCACCTGCAGTGTGGGGGGAACTGCTTTTGTCAGAATTTTAATTATTGACAAATCTGATGTATGAAAACTGCTTTGGTGGTGTCTACATTTTCTGTCTGGGAATGCTAAGCATGTTCTTACATATAATCATGCTGTTTTCTTTTTCATATGTTACTACTTTTTTTTAATCATTGTTTTAGTTGCTGTTCACATTGCTGAGACAAAATACTCACCATCCACAGTTAGAGGAGGAAAGGTTTATTTAGCTCAGTTTGTAGAGGTTTCAGTCCACAGTTGCCTAGCTGTAACAGGGTGGCATCACAGAGGGGTAACAGTTCGTGGTAGGCAGAAAACAGCAAGCAGCAGGAGCAAGCATCCCTTCTTTCTGCCCCTTTATATTCCATCCAGGCTGCAAGCCTGTTGATTGGTGCCACCTACATCCAGGGTGGGGCTTCTTTTTCCACACCCTTAATCCACCCTCACACCCTCAATCCAGCCATCTCTGAAACCCACCTATGACTGCATCAGCCTTTGGGGATTTTTAGAGACAACAGCAATCCTAATATCTATTGATATTCATCTTTCTATATTGATTTTAGGTCCTTTAAGTATTCTAATGTGTTTAGGACATTGCTCTGCCTATGATTTTTATATTTACTACAGTTTACTTTGACTTGCTTTCCCTTACATTTACTTCTGTACTTCATTTGAAAATGAGTAAGAATAGTTTGAGGAAGACCACTTCTCTTCAGAAACTACATTTGATCTAATGCCAGTTATTAAATAATCCATATTTTACCCTAATAGCCTTGCTATACATAGTCTCTTAAGAATTTTTCAGCTCTTTTTCATTGCTTTATTTGTTCAGACTTCAGGACAAATTATAGTAATTGCCTTATGCTATGGTTTAATTAGTACTCTTCATTCTTGTAAATATAATTTATTTTTTCTTTAGTATCAATTACATTTTCACCATTCACAGCTTTATATTTGCAAAGTAATAATGTGTGTTCTTTGTTTCTGACCAGAGAATTCTTTTTTTTTTTTTTTTTTTTTTTTTAAATCGGTACCAGGGATCAAACTCACGACTGCCTGCTTGCAAGGCAGGCCCTTATGCCACTGAGCTAAATCCCTAGCCCCTGACCAGAGAATTCTTTGCTATCAGTCCATTCTGTTGGTTGCAAATGAGGACACTCCTTGTGTAAAGGATCACCTATAAAGTGCCGGTTTCATTTGATGCTCTGTACCAATATGGAAAAAGCTCACATGCAGATGCACTGAAACAATTTTAGCAGCTTATCTGCATTTGGAAAAAAGTGACCAAGTGTATGCCAATATATCATGTTCCAGATACTTTTTTAATATAGGCTAATTCAGAACAGGTGTCCATATCATGCAAAAGCTATGAATAATTAACCGTAAGAAGCAATGTTATGTCTTTTGGCAGAGCTCACTCTGCTTGTTTCATTTATGTTGGGTTTGTTTTCTGCTCACTTACAGGAAGCCTCTCCAGTAAATCCATGACTCAGGGGAAAGCTTCAGCAAAGAGGAGCCCTCAGGAGTCATGAGGGAAAGAAGATGGCACTTGAGTGACACTCAGGCGTCCTTATGCACTCAGAAAATCAGGTTCATTTCACAGGCACGAAAGCATCGATCAGGCTTCAACTACACAGTCTAGGGAAATGTCAGATTTTTTTAATATGATGAAATCGTTAATGAAAAAATTTTAATATAGTCTCATCTACCACCAATCCCCATAGATGTAAGGATTTTAATAGAAAGCCATGATGTATGTATTTAAGCCAGGTTAAAAGAAGAAATGTAACTGTGGGCCACTATTCAATGAATATGGCTTCATGGTTTTTAATTCTTTGAAAGCACACTAAAAATGGTGTGCTGATAAAGCTCAAGTATATTTACTCCTTTTTCCTATAAATCCCTTTTTTGTTTTGAAGAGGGGAGTGGTATTTATTGTTGTTTGCGAAATCCTCATGTGGAAGGTGTCGGATGTGTGTGATCTGCTACTGCTGTACCTAGTACTCCCGAGCGTTGTCTTACCGCCCTCTGCGGAAGTGAGCGCGGACTACGTCCTGCTAGTGTGAGCCTCAGCTGGCACAGATGCGCACAAGAATCGCCATAGACTTTCTGCGATGCTCGGAAAAATGAAATCAGGAAGACAAGTGGCCCTGTTCACCAGGAAGAACATTTTAAAAGAAAAGATAACAGAAGTATGTTTTACTTTTTATGATACTCAGAAGTGAGGGAGGGGAACTTTTACACCCCCTAAGGTCCGAGACTGTCTGAGCCAGTCACGATTGTGGTTTGCCATCTCTGGGTCTGCCTGGAGTCCCACAGAACTGTTTCTCCAACTTCACAAGCTTCTCCAAAGTACTCCATGGAAAAAACTATGCCTCGCTTTATTTATCATTTTGAAATAAAATTTCAAACTGTAATTTTACCACATTACTGTCTAGTGAAAGCATCCTAGGGGCTGGGGATTTAGCTCAGTGGCATAAGCACCTGCCTTGCAAGCAGGCAGTCATGAGTTTGATCCCTAGTACCCATAAAAAAAAAGAAAAAAATCTCCGAAAGCGTCCTAACTTTCATTAGGAACCTAAGTTCCAGAGGAGGGCCAGCTCAGACCTGTTCCGTGGGATAGAGTGCACACGGGTCGTCCTGCCTTCACGCCCCTTTGGTCCTGTGTGTTGATACCACCCTGTGCCAGACGCTGGGCACACACACACCCTGCACTGGGGCTGAGGACTGCAAAGGGCATTAGTGGAGAAGACTAAAGATAATGCCTATGTGCTCTTCTCTTTTGCAAAAGTGATTGAGCCAGGTATGGTGATGCACACCTGTAATCCCAGGCCTCTGAGAGGCTGAAGCAGAAGGGTCACAAGTTGGACCCCATGTTGAGCAACTTGTTGACTTAGCAAGACTCTATCTCAAAGTACAAAAGGGTGAAGACTCATTCTAAAGGACCTGAGTTCAGACCCTAATATTGTACTGAGAGAAGAAAAAACCTACTTCAGAACATATCCTAGGTACTGAGCAATTGTAGCAAAATTGAGAACATCAGAATTTGCAAGTTCCGGCAAAATAAAACAAAATGTTGTCCCTTATGCAGTTTGAACACTTACGATCCTGTAGCCTGGGCTGACCCCCGTCTGACTTTCCTCAACTGCTGAGCTGCCGTCTGGCACGGGGGGGTCACTGTACACCCAACTCTTGTCATTCTTTGAAAGGCCTGCTGCGCTCTTCTGTTCATCTTCCAGCATTATCACAGGAGAGAAGCTGAGACCAGCCTAATTTGTATTCCCTTGTAGGTTTTATTTTTGAGTGGGGTGCTCCTGTGTCTTTGTTGATCCCTATAATTAAGAAAGTTGTCTCAATCTAGAAATCTCTCTGCAGGGATTTTTGTTTGTTTTAGTGCCTCCCACCCTCTGTGATCTTTCCTTTTCATCATGCTAAAAAAATTCTTGCTTAATCTCCACATGACTGGCCTCTGCTGCTTTTCTCACAAATTATTGCCATTATACTTCCAATATTTTTTAACTTAACTCAGCTGCCTTTTCCTCTTAATTATCATTTTTTCTTAGAAAGTTTTTTATGTCCTGTCTTTTAAAAGCTTCCTACATTTTCTGATTCCTACCGTAGATTCTGCTTGATGTATTTGGGTTTAAAATTTCTCACACTAGGTCTATGGGTAAGTAAAGAGAGGTTGAGAGCAGTTCTGAGAATGGGTCGCTGTTGCCTCTTCCCAAGGGTGATTATTGAAGCCCCTTCTGTGTGCCTGCCAGAGGGCAGGCATCTGCTCAGGCACCACCCAGCACTCAGGGTGTAACCTATCTTTCTAGGACAGCTGGTCTGTCTGTCCTAACAGGCGCCACCAGTGCCCCACTGCCAAGATTTTCCTTGCTACCTTTTCTCAGAAATGAAATTTTTTCCTTTTGGGGTTGCATATGGGGATGTAGCTGCATCCCCAGTCCTTTTTATTTTGAGCCTTCTAAGTACATGGGAGTATAAGTGTGTGCCACACCCAACTATAAAATAATTTTATGGCAGTAATTGGTAGACCTCAATCTGATCATCAACAATCCTTTTGCTTAGTGTGGACAGTTTCATCAGTGTGCAAGCTTAGACATACGTTTTCTACACATGATCCTAGTCAAAAGGCCAAGAAGCAATTTAAACTGCTCTTAGATAACTCACTTTATTTTTCCTTTTCAAATATGCTTCACATTGTACAAATCCTTTAAAGAAAAAATTTTCCCAACTGGAAAAGTCCTTGACATCAGCTGGTAGGGCTTACAGTGTTATAACCTGCCCCCCCAAACCCCAACCCCACTAAAACTAAGAAAATGCTCAGAATGCTTTCTTGAAACCAGGCGTTTGGATAGCATCTGTCAGAACAGTCACACTTTTCACCAAGTACAACTCTAGACTTAGGGAGGGTCCAGCCCTGCCAGTTTTCCAGCTATACAACAAGCCCCATAACCTTGGGCAGAAAGTGCCAGTCCTATAAAATGGAAAGCATACCTGCCCTTCCAGAGTTGTCAAGACCAGGGAGGTCTTACTGGGAAAACACTTCAGGATCAAAAACAAACTAAATCCTGAAAAATACTTAGCATCTCCCTACTCAAGTTAACATGTTGGCGGAAACCTAAAAGTGTTTACAGGTTGTAAGCTCCTTCAGCATTTCCCATACTTCATCTCGTACTATAGGACAGGAGGTTCTGTGAGATAAAGGGGCTCACATACGTGTTTATCTAATGAGAATTCTAACATACCAAGTTACTTCAGGAGCCTGTGACATTAGCTACACCTGATTCACTGGCAAGTAATTATGTGACTTAATGCTTATGGAGAAAATAACTAATCAAGTGAAAATCTGAACAGTATGAGTTTAAAATGAGGGAAGGTTTTAAATATACACAGGATCTTAAATGAGCAGTTCGTGGTTCTGAGACTGGTGGGAGACTGTGCTCAAAGATTTTTTGTGTTTCTCTTTTGTGGGACTGGGGATTAAGCCCAGGGCCTTCATACTGAGCTACATCCCTGGCACACTCATCTTTGTCCTTTTTTGGCAGGGTTTTGCTCAGTTGCCCACACTGGGTTCAGACTTGAACACTGGGATCTTGCCACATCCCAGTTTGGGAATGGTGGTATATGCCTGTAACCCTAGCACTCTGAAAGGCCTAGGCAGAAGGATCATGGTTCAAACAGCCTGGGTAACTCAGTGACTAGCAAGACCTTGTCTCAAAATAAAACATTTTAAAAGGAGATAGAGCTTACCCATGCAGAGGCCCTGGGTTCAGTATCAGTAATGCACAAAAGTTCCTTTCAAACCTAAGTTCTACACAACTGTACAGCATTCCAATAATTGAAAAAATGATACATGGGATTACTTTTTAGAAGTTTTACTTTCACAGAGAAACCACAGGGAGATTAGAATTTCATATATTTTCTGTCCTTCCCCCCCCCATTACCAACCTCCCCCGTTATCATTGTGCACCACCGTTATCATTGTGCACCACCGTGTCCCAAGATAAACCTCCATAGACAAGCCCCCAACTCGCAGTTGATGGCTACACTGGGGTTCATTCTGCATTGTGCACTGTAAGGGCTCTGACAAATCCATGACAGGTCTGTCCATCCTTAGAGTATCACAATTTCATATGTCACCTTTATCTGTGAACAATTAGTGTGTTTATGGAGTATGCTTTGTATCATGCGTTCTTCAAGGGATTTTCATGCTTTAACTCATTTAATCTTCATAGTATCTGCAGAAACAAAAGAGGTGAAATGCCATAACATTAAAAAGAAAAGCCATACATGATCTTAAAATAAAATGCCTTATCCCAAATCACTCAGCTAATCAAAGATGAAGCCAAGAAGAAAACTCACCACCCTACCATCTCTCATTCCTTTTCATCTATATGCAGCTGGAGTTTAGGGGGAAACACCCTGTAACAGGAAGACAGAACTGCTTGCTATTTTGAGCTAGCCTTTCCGACTTTGTAGGCTCTACAGGATCAAACACAAATCACTCTAAAAATGCCTATTCATTCTTCCCGTATCAAAAACACTACAAAAGAGCCTCTGTGATGTCACAAGCCAGCACTCTGGGAGGCTAGGGCTCAAGGTTTCCAAGTCTGAGCCCAAGTCCTGTTGCTGCTTCCTGTGAATACAATGCCTGGCGCTCAGGAATAACGGAATTACACCTCTGAGCCAGCAGGACAAGGTCTCACAACAACAGGTGTACCGGCTGGTAGGTGCTCACTGAAACTGTGACTATTCCCCCAGGAAACAGCCGCCGGATTCCCAGTCATCTTTTACAGTGGAGTCAGGTTCGCATTCAGCACCAGAAGCAAAATCGCATGGGTCACGTTCGTCGAGTTGCCGAGAGCACGGCACGCTGGGATGAGGTGGCTATCACTTGTCGGTAGTCTGCGCTCGTAACTGCCTCGCTGGTCCACCAAGAAGGGACACAAGTGCAGACTTCTGCGCCCTAGACCCGATCCCCGCCTGAGCTGGGCGGCCTTTCTTCCGCACCTCTAAGCCTCCACGGGCTATTCTCGTCGCGGCGAGCCTGCGGGAAGCCAAGCCAAAGCGCTGGGGCAACAAGGCTCCTGTACGCTCAGCGGGCAGCGGTACAGCCCCGCCAGCGCCCGTCCGCGTCGTCACAGCAACCACTGTCGCAGCGCTCACAGTTCACTAGTCCCTGCCTCCACTGGTGAACGAAGTCCCTCCCCGCACGCACGCACGCGGCCCGCCCAGCCTTATCACTCACGCGGGCCGCCCAATGGCGGGGCGGGGTCTGGGGCGCGTGCGCGGGTGCTTGTGGCGTCAGTGCGCCAGCCGTGTCCATGGAGAGAGGTTGAGGGTTCTGAGGTCCGGCCTCAGGGAGCCGGGCGCCCGGACGGCGAAGATGTCGGCTTCCTTAGTCCGGGCCACCGTCCGGGCTGTGAGCAAGAGAAAACTGCAGCCCACCCGCGCCGCCCTTACGCTGGTGAGTGCACGCGGCGCACGTCCGGGCCGTGACATTGGCGCACGTCCGCCCTCAGCTGGGGAGGTCACGAGAGCAGGAGGCGACGAGAGCAGGCTGCAGGCATGCCCGAGCGCGGGACGGAGTCGCCGGCTCTTGTAGTGACCCTGCCGGTCCCGGTAGCGGTGGTAAACAAGCCCCGGGCGGGGCTGGTGGGGTGGGCTCCCCGAACTACGTCTCCCGGCAGGCCTTGCGTGCGGGAGCGAGCCCGGGGGGCAGGGGCACCCCCGCATCAGGCGTCGCTCGTTGGGCCACTTCTCTGGCTCCTTTTAGGGTCCCTGCGGTGCGGAAGTCTGCGGCCTGCGGCGTCCGGCGTCGCAAGGTCTGCAGGGCAAAAGATGCGGCGTGCGCGCCGCACTCGCAGCGTTTTGCCGGACAAAGATCAGACGCACGGGGCACGGGCACCCAGCCGGAGTGGGGGCGCCTGGCACGTTGGCCCTGCAGCGCTGCGCCGCCCTGGGGAGCGAGCCCCGGCCTTTTTCTTTTCTGTGTTTGTTTGTTTATAAACGTAGACTTTTAAAGTTGGCAGAGACTGAGCTGGAGCTTGGGATCCCCCCGTTTCAGCTTGTGCAGGTTGTTTTTTTTTTTTTTTTTAAGACGAAAGAAAATCCACATAACGTGAAATTAACCATTGTAAAGGGTGCTGTTTAGAAGATGCATAATGTAATGCAGTTATTATCTTTGTGTGGTTTCAACAGATTTTTACCTAACTAAGCAACATAAGGGTCGGTTTGGTATTCTCACAGACACCCAGCTGCGGTGCTGGCAGTCACGTAGGCACTGGGAAATCAAGACTCAGTTGAATCACGGAGTCCGTTTCATCTAATGCCATAATAAGGCCTGTTGCCAGAAAATTAGTTAAAGCAAAATGAAGGAAAATCAGAGAGGAACAGGACGCTGAAATGTTTTTAAGCCCTGGAGGTTATCGTAATTATACGACCTGCACTTTTTACTGTATTTTTCCTGTAGTAGCATGCCTGTTTTCGTGTCTGGAAAATACTTCATGAAATCCAGAATGTGTTTCATTTCAGTCTGAGAAATATATTACTCAATATTCGTAAGAATTTTTCAACCAGTAATGGAAGAGCCAGGAAAAGCCAGAGGATCCAGCAACAGTTCCTTTTTTTCTTTTTTCCTTCATCGTTTGGCATCTCCGTGCCTGCTAGTTCAGCAACATTTATCCAGACTATTTTATAAGAAAAGAGAGGACAAGAAAAACGTGACCTACACACTTCCCTTCCTCCATGGTCACAGCTGTAGACAAAGTCTGTGCTGTTCTGATGAGGAATAATAATAAACATACCTTACATTCTCAGGCCTGGTCCCTACACTTGTCTGGCCTGCTTGCTTCTGTGTTCGCTAGTAATTGTTAGGAGGGATCCTGCCTGGCTGTGTCATAGAAGTAACTTATTTTGCTTAATGTTAAGGGTAACTTTATAAACTCTAGGAGTTACTTAGGAATTAGTAGGAAAAAAGTGTTAATGCTGCTTTTCCACATGCCCTGTGTTAATGGCCTAGCACATTGTACCTTAGGGCTTGACTTTCTAGTGGAACCTGATGAGAAAGGTTTAATGTTTAATAGGAAGCCAGTAAATCACTTGGCTAGGACCCAAAATCATTGAAACAGAGACCAAAAAATAAGATTTGTACAAGAAGGCACTCAGTAGCTATTTTTCTCCATTATGAAAAACTAGGAACAAGAGCGAAGTGCAAAGCTAGGGCAAGTGCTTACTATGCACAAGGTTCAACTCCAGCACAAAGAGAAAAAACACAGTGGATGTGGTGTTTGACAAGAGAATGACTAAACATATGAGAGTAGATCTTGGTATTATACTCATTGTAAGTCTTCAAATATTGTACTGTTAATATCTAAATCACATCCTTGTAAGAATAAAAAATGATAACAAAAATATCAAACACCTAAAAGGTACTCAGTGGTGAATGTAGGTTTATAACCATGTATCAAATGAGAACATAATATTAATTTTTTAATGGAAGTACAGAATTCTATGTCTAAGATTACAAACATATATGTATATTTATACACACATAAGAAGAGAGCCAAGTAAAACACCATAATGACAAGATATAGAAACATTGAGAAAAGTCCAAGTTGTGTTGCTGGGAAATGGTTACAAGATGTTTATCTAGAGTGCCTTTTCTTACAATTTTGACAAGGAAAGCAACCTGGAGATATTTTTTTTTTCTTTTTATCTTTGTTGTAGTTGTTTCCCTTTTCTTCCTCCTTTCTCTTCTTGTACTGGGGATTGAACTCACAATCTTGCAACTGCCAGGCAGACCCTTGTGCCACTGAGCTGTGTCCCTGGCTCCCTCCTTCTCCTCCTCCCTCTTCCTGTTCTCTTCTTAGCCTTGAAGTAAGATGGATTTGGAGATAATATTTTTAAGTGGACTAAAATACCTTAAACAAATTCTGACACTTTAAATAGTCACATTCTTGTGATTTTAGATAGTAAGTTAAAAGCCATCATTAAATCTCAGTGGATCTCAATAATCTTGTCAGGTTTTGTTTGTTTTGGTATCGGAGATTGAACTCATGACCTCTGCTTGCCAGTTAAGCCCTTGTGCCATTGAGCTAAATCCCCAGCCCTATCCTCAGTTTTAATTCACAAGCCAAATCATAGGTGAATTACAGAGACATCAGCCACTTGTGGTGGCACACACCTGTAATCTCAGCACTCTGAAGGCTGACGCAGAAAGATTGCTACAAATTTGAGGCCAACCTGGGCTACAGTAGTGAGTTCAAGGCCAGCCTGAACTGCATAGTGAGATTTCATCTCAGAAAAACAAGAATTACAGTCACTAGTTGTACTTAGTTTCTTGGGAAGGTATGGGCTTCCTGGTTGTCTAGAGTGAGCATTGATATTAGAAGGCCTCCAGGCCCTGGAGCTTTGTTCATTACAAGATTTTAAACTGTTTCCAGATTCGTTTTACCCCTAAGTAAAAAAAGTTGGTAAATTATGCAAATAGATGTAGGTAGAGCCAAGTAGAATCCTTTGTTTCTGCCTGATACTAACATACAAAAAGTTCTTTTTATGTCTGGAGTCCTAAGAAGAAAATCTCAGATGTTTCTTGTTCAGCCCTTTTGACTTGTCTTAAAAATCAGATCAGTCATTTCACAAATTATCTTTTCCCCTTAGTAGGTCATTTCCCCTTAATAGTCTAATACTCAGCTGAGTTGTGCGTCCTTGGTAACTGTCCCCTAGTGTAGTTGCTTTGCGTGTGTCACAGGAAAATTAAGATGCAAGCTTTGTTCTTTCACAATATGATTCTTATTTAATGTTACTTTTCCTTCCAGTGCTGGTCAACATATGATGTAAATAAACATCAGCAGCTTAGTAATAAGTAGACCATTCTCCATGACTAGCTTTTATGTATGGTGTTTAAATGTTTTCTACTGGGAGTTGAGAAAAGAACAAAATATGAGGTATGGGCAAAGTATATGGTGAATGTAAAATTTTTTTAAAAGAAACTACCAATACTCCCCTTTTCTTTGAACACTGTCTTTTCAAAGTGTGACTAAAAATGTAGTGAATACTGCTACCAAATGCCATTCAACAGAAAGACAGGCTTCCCCCCGGCCCGCCCGCCCCCGCCCCCCCAGGTCTCATTATGTAGTTTTAGGCTGGCCTTGAACTTGCCTGTGTAGCATGGGCTAGCTTTGAGCTTACAATAATCCTCCTGCCCTAGCCTCCCAAGTGCTAGGACTGTAGGTGTACACTGCACACCCAGTGCTAAAGACAGGCTCTTAACATTATGGTGTATACCATCCCTTGTGATCATCACATCTGGCACCATGAGACTTCCGTTTCTTCCCAAGTTAAGATGCCAGTAAAAGGTAAACATTTTAAATTAAATCAGGATGTTGAGGCAGTAGTGAGAGACAAAGACAAAAGAAGACTGACTTCCAAAACAACTGTAGAGTGGCCAAAAATAATTATACGTTTAAAGCAAGGGAGATTATTTTGAGGGGGACTAACAGCAAGTGTGTTTAGCAGTAATGTTTTTTAATTCAAGCATTCACTATATATTTAGATGATAAACCTCATATACTGTTTTATGAAACCAGATTGGTTAATTTAGAAGTAAAATCACTTGGGGCTGCATGGTAGCACCCACCTGGAACTGCAGCACTTAAGGGGCTGACAAGAGGATTGCTGTTGTGAGCCCGGTCTGGGCAGGTTAGTGAGATGGTGCCTCAAAATGAAACAGAAACAATGGTGGAGACTTAGCTTAGCACAAAAGCCCTGTGTTCAGTCTCCAGCCACAACACATCTGCACCCTGACACTGAGGAGCAGACTGTGCAGGTGTGAGCCCTATCTGTTCGTTCGTTCTTGTAAGATGCCTTCTGCAGTTCTGACCTGCTTTCTTCAGTCAGAATTAGGCAGTGCATTTTAAGTCCCCATATTTTCCTGTAGCTAAGCCTTTTAACTTATCAAAATTTTGTTTGATAATTAATTTATTCAGCACCCATATAAGAAATGTGGGAAAAAGCCAGCCCAACCCCCAGGTACACACTGGGCATCAGGGACTCTCCTGGGGGTAGCCAGCAGGGGCTGGGAGAAACAGCCAGCCACGCCTTGGAGAAGTCTTGAATGTCTGGAAGAGCTCACCCACCACACATGCCACCTTCATCCTGTGGAACCTGGGTTGAAAGATGCTCAAATGCCTGACCCATCCCCCTACACATGGGAAATGCCTGAGACCCCACAACCTGCTTATCCAGAGAAACCCAGGAAAATGTCAAGACGAAAGAGCAATCTCTGACCAACAGCCCAAACAGAACAAGTTGAGGAAACTTAGACATAAAAGAAAGTAGAAGTCATACACCTGAAATTTCTGAGGTGATGGCAACTGAAGTAAAGAAACTAGTTCATGAAAGACTGCAAAAGAACTCAGATCAGAAATAATATCTCTGGTAAAAGAGGAAATGACAAACATAATAAAAAGATTGCTGACATATCTAAGGAAGACATAGATTAAAAATAAAGGGCATAGGAGAATGAGAGAAACCCTGAATAAGCAATATAGAGATTTGGAAACAGACTGAAAGAGATATCCAAGAAATTAACTCCATTGAAAGCTAGCAAAACCCACTTGAAAGAAACTGAAGATAGACTCTTAGACCTTGAAAACAAGATGGCAACTAGCAATCACTAAAGGAAAGATCCCTTAAAAATAACAAGGAACCAGGAAACAGTTCAGTGGCTCCAAGAAACACATTCACAAAAAGATAATTTAAAGATGATAGGTGTCAGTGAAAAAGCAGGAGTCAACACAAAACACATAAAGAAACTATTTGCAGAATTAATAGCAGAGAACTTCCCAAGCATGGGAAAAGAACCTGACATTCAGGTAAGGGAGGCATATAGACCTCCAGCTAGCCATAACCAAAATAAATGTACACCCAGACATACAATAAGATCCCAGAAATTCAGCACAACAACAGAATATTCAAGGCTGTTAAAGAAAAGAAACATCACAGGCTGGGAACTTAGCAGCATAAACAACTGCCTGGCAAGCATGAGGTTGTTAGTTTGATTCACGGTACGAAAAAAAAAAACATCATCTGTAAAGAAAAAGCCATTAGAATCACAACAGACTTGTCAACACAAACCATCAAGTCAAGAAGAAATATTTCAAGTCTTGAAAGAAAAGAACTTCCAACCTGGATTAATGCACCCTGAAAAAAACTATTTAAAATGGAGAAATAAGATACTTACATGACAGAGAATAACTGAAGGAATTCATAACCACCAAGCCAACCCTACAAAGAGTACAGAAGGACATTCTAGAGAGAGATAAAAATGAGCACAGTCCCAGAAACAGCGGCAGGAGATCACCCAGTGGGGCAGGCAACTGAATGGAGGGAGAAAGTAGGGAGCCAACAACAGGAAAATAGCATGGCAGAGAGGAGCCGGTGCATGTTGTCCATAGCCATTCATAGATGGGCATGATTCACCAGTAAAAAGAAAGAGTAGATCAAGAAACAAGGTCCACAACATGTGGTATACAAGAAATACATTAACTCAAAAAGACATTCATAGACTGAAAGTCAAAGGAAAGAGAACAATGCTCCATGCAACAGGGACCCAGAAAAAAGCAGGGTTAGATAATGGAAAACGATTCAGCTATAAAGGATAATCGTGAAGCTCTTGTAAAGGTAAATGGATGCAACTTGTGATCATGCTCTTGAGTGAAATGATTTGACCTCATGTAAGTGAACATCATGTTGTCTCCTTAGTGAGATCCAAAATGTACAGTAATAGTGTGAAAGCGAAAGGCGAGGAAATGTTTAAAAAGGGAAAGTGTTAGCCATTGTTAATTCCCTATTATTTTGTTTTAAAAGTCCTGTGTTGTTTTCATTGTTTTGATTGGTTTTATTCTCTTATATTTGATTTCATTAGGTCTGATAGTATGGGCAGCTATTTTGAAGTTAACAGGAGGCATTATGGCAGCCATTGTTGATTTCCTATTACCTTGTTTTAAAGTGCTGTATTGCTTACACTGTTTTGTTTTGATCGATTGGCCTTATCTATTTTATTTTGTTTGATTTTATGTCTTAAAAATTAAAGAAATGTGCCCATGAAAATCTACAAATGGAAGAGAGCTGGCCTTTGGTTGTAATCATTTAGAAGTGTAAACAAGCACTTTAAGAAACATTTCTATAACTATTTTAGGTTGATACTCTGTGATCTCAAAACAAAAAACACAGTTTTTTTGCTTTTCCTTCCTCTGCCCTGGCCTGCCGTTCCATGTTTTCCTGCTGTTCACCTCATCTTCTGGTAGAGCCGTGGGAAAAGGCCACTTGTTGGTGGCAGGGTTTTCATCTTTTTTACATCTACAATAAGCATAGATATTTACAAACATAACCATATATAACCAAAAAGGTTTCACTGAACAACATCCATATTTACTAAATGCAATGCATTGTTTTCTTTATTCATCCCCACACACACACACACACACATACACACATACACTTTCAGTATTGAACCTAGCGCCTGCATATGGTTTTGAGACAGGGTATCATGAAATTCCCCATGCTGGCCTCAAACTTGCAGTCCTCCATCTTTGGGCTCCTGAGTAACCGATTACACACAAATGCCCAACCACTTCTTACATTTTTTAAAATACTGGTGTCAGCCTTCAGAATTGGCTTCATGACCTTCTAAGTTGAGTCTGTATTGTTTACCATGTAATAAGCAGATTCTGAGGTGGTTCCCTGGGACACACTCCTTCAGCACAGACTTGATTTCTGGCTACAGTTCACTACTGTATCATAGGTCAGAATACCCAGACTGAGATTTCATAAGCCAGTGAAGTATCAGCCCAAAAACTGGAGGGCCATCCTACCATTAAGGAGCTAATGAAACAGGAAGTAGGAAGACCATCATCTCTTTATTACATACTTACCATAGTGATAATAACTGCTGGGTTGAGCTCCTTGTGCCTGACAAAAGGACGAGAACCCCTTTCATGAATTCCAGTATCTTACTCCATAAGAATCCGAGGAAGAGGTGCCTTAATCCTCACTTCACAGTAAGGGGCTGGAAGTCAGAGAAACTGTTCCACTTGATTGTTGGGGCACCTGCCTACGCTAAACTTGGAATGCCCCCAGCCACACTGTTCACAGCATTCCTGTTCCTTCACTTGGTAACATGGCCTGCACATGCTGGGCTAGATAAGACCAGATATTTCTCCAGAGAAATAACTCCTGTTCTTACTTCTCACTGAATTGCTTACTTCTGTCTGTCTGGAGGTCCTTGCTGCTTGCCAAGTCCACATTGAACATTGGTGTGAGACTGGTAGGAAAAGCACATCTTGAGTGATTTTTATGGTGTAACACTTTCCTCTAGATGTGCATTTTGATGAATTTGAAAGTTTGTGAGGAAGGGAGAAAAATAACGGGAATAACATCAACCAGAAAAACACCAGAAGATTGGCTTTTCTGATGACACGCTTGCTTCATTCATTTGCTATTTCTGGGCCTCTGCGTGACTGCCAGTGTGCTCTTGCTGGCCATGTAGCAGGTGCACAAAATGGATACTACCCTGAAAAGTTACATTTGTAATGTGTATTAGTGCTTACAAGAGCTTGCAGGGCTGAGGCAATGATCCTCAAAAGACTCCACATGCTCCAGAATGAGGTTTAATGCAGGACACAGAAATTTACAAGATTGGCCTACAGTCAAATATAGAAGAGTACAAAAGGTCTGTGTGTGCACTGGAAATCTGAAGGACCCAGCCAAAGGCCTGGAGCCCACAACACTGTCCTGCACAAGTCCACATCAGGATCCTCAATGTAATCCCAAGGAGTCTGCACCAGGAGACAGACAGGTCAGCCCTAGAAACTAGAAAGTCTGCACCAGCAGGGAGTAAGGCCGATGCTGGAAGCTGAAGAAGCCAGGTGACACCGCCCAAGGTGAAAGAGAAGACTGGAACTCCTACAAATAGAACAGCCAAAGCTCCTCTGCAGAAAACCAGCTGAAATCCTTCCTTCCTGTTCTCCTTTCGATGTTACACCTTTCCCACCACAGAACTCCTTAAAGTGGGTCTTCCATTCCCAGAATCGTGTTGACTCCAGCTGGCTGGGCATTGCCACGCAATGACAGTTAACTACCACATGATGTAAGTAGATTGACAGAGAATTGACCTGCACTTTGGAGCAAGAGTAAGAGAATTATTTGCTAGTAAAATATTGTGACATATAAAGAGTGCTCTTAGTTGAGTAGAGTGGTTAGGACCACTAATTCACAATGGCTAATTTTGTATACTTCCCTAAGGGACGCATGGATGCTTGAGATTATAGTATCACCATTTGAGACTCCTCATTAACTCTTGGCATGGGCCATTCTCTCCCACCCACTTAGACTGCTAAGATGAAAAAGACCACGCCAGAACATGATCCTTCTTAACATAAATCATCTCTGCCTGCTCTGAATCTTCTGTTAGCCCCTCCTATCATTGTATAGACGTAATTTACATTGTACACGCCCAATAAATAGTTGTTGGTTTGGCGTATCTGGGTCTTTGCCTGTCCTGAGGCATTGACCTTCCAGCCCCTGATCATGCATTACTAAATTTGTCTCTGTTTCTTATTTCATTCTTTTGCTGTACCCCTCATACAGGCAGTTGGGGATCTTGACCAGGTGCCTAAGATAGAGTTTATATGTTTGTGAACAAAATGCACAGAGTATCCTGGGGTGAATGGAACATAAATTTGTCATGTGAATTTGCTAATGAAAGAGCAAATACTCTTAAAGACTATTCAGTTGGCTGCTTTGAGTTCAAATTGTATTACTGTAAAAACTGAATACCATTTTCTTTTTTCAGACACCTTCTGCAGTAAACAAGATAAAACAGCTTCTTCAAGATAAACCTGAGCATGTAAGTAAAGTTTCTCAGATATTCAGTAAAACATTAAAGGTTGTATTATGATAAACAGTCTGTTCTATTGAGGATTTATTTTTGTTTGCTTGCTTTTGAGGTGCTGGAGGTCAAACCAAAGCTGCAGGCAGGCTAGGCAAACACTCTACCATTGACATAGAGCTACAGCCCCAGTCATGATTTTTAAAATTCAAGTCACGAAGAGCCGGTGTTCAGTGAAAGTTACTGTCAGTCCAGGCTCCTCCTCACTGTCATTGTGTTTAAAGAGGCAGCCTCCTAGTGTCCTTCCAGAGATAGTCTGTGCATACCATGTGGCTAGGCGAAGATTCTCAGTCTCCACACTGCCAGCGTTTTAATGTGGATCTGAAGATGTTCAGCAGTACCACAGGCCTCTACCTCCCAGGTGCAAATAGCATCCTGTCTTTCTAAGCCATGACAAGCACAAACTCTCCCCAGGGGAACCACTGGCTTAGATAATGCTTGTTTTCTTTCTCTTTCTTCCCATATAGAAAAGCACATTGTATGGGCTCTGGGTATACTTTGCTGTTTGCCCTGAAGGTCTTTCTGCTGCATGTGTAGCACATCTGTTAAACAGGTTTGAATTCTTGAACCTCCTTGTGTGGTAAAGACCATTTGAGTTGTTTCCTTTCACATCCAACAAGAGCATCCAACAGCTCTTGGTGTAGTGTGCCACATCCATTGGAGGCGACATGTGGCACGCATGCAGCCATGGGCACACAGAGTCCTCTGTTGGCACTTGAGCCAAGTGAGTATTTTTCCTAAACTAAAACCTCAGTGTACAGGTTTAGTTGCAGTGTTAGCACTTTGTAATAAATGGGCTTGGGGTTGCAGGTTGGGTGTGTTCAGTCTCTGAAAAGTTCACCATCACTGGTCTGGATGTGAAGGCACTACTTAACATACCTGTGTAAAATGCGTTTCTAGATATAGAATTGTTGAGTTAGGCTATGTGCATTATCTTACTCATAGCACATTGTTAATAGCTGGTAGAATACTGTAAATCATTTCAAATGGTGACTTGTCAATAATTAAGTTGGTGTAGTAGTACACTCCTGTAATCCTAGCACTTAGGAGGCTGAGACAAGAGGATCATGAGTTACCAGCCAGCTGGACTACATAGCAAGTTCAAGGCCAGCCTGAACTATATAGTGAGACCTTGTCTCCAGAAAACAAAAAAAAGCTAATAATTAAACTATGGAAAGAATAACAACAGAAAGACTATAGTGTTGTTTTCTCTGCTCCTCTGTACAATCACCATGACAATGTAATGGGAGTGCTCTCTCCTAAAAATTATGAAACATAACAGACGTCAGTGTTCCAACCAAATTCATACAGGCCAATGACCCAGTGAAACAGGAAGTGTGTATATTTAGGGGATATTTGTTCATACTGATGTAAAAAAGTGTGATTTACAGCACGAGTGATCTCTTTTCCAGATTCCAGTTACCTAAAGCTGTGTTTCTACTTATCCTTGCAGTACTGGGGTTTAAACACACAGCCTTCACACTTAACTGCATTACCAGCCCTTTTTCATTTTGAGACAGGGACTTGCTAAGTTTCCCAGGCTATACTGGAATTTGTGGTCTTTCTGCCTCAGCCTCCCAGAGTACTGGGTCTACAGGTATGCTCCCCCATACCCAACTCATGTACTTCTAGAAGTTTATATTCCATTCCTACTACTTGGCCACCTTCTTGCTTCAAGTCTTCTTCCTGTTTACAAAGACAAAAACTAAATGAAACAAATACTTATGACATGTGGTCCAGGGATTTGTCCCACCAGTTTACCACTCTGAGGATGTGAATCTCTCTTACATTCCTGAAGCTGACACTCCGAAGGTGAATAAAATTGGCCACTTCATGATTGCTTAATCAAACATTGCTGTTTTTCAGAGAATTGGTCTCTACTGGTCAAGTCATACTTCAGATTGTAATACTTTGACTGCATACTTAAATGCAAAAGTAAGCTCCAGGCACTCGAGCAGCCATCAGAAGACACTGTCCAATAGGTAACCAGCTCAGGTTGGAAGGCAAAGGCAGGCCCTGCCCCCAGGCACACTGCAGCAGCCTTCAGAAGATACTGCCCAAGGTAACCAGCTCAGTAGGGAAGCTGCAGCTGGCCCTGGCCCTGCATGCACTGCAGCAGCTCTTGGGCCACTTCTGCCTCAGGTAGCCAGCACAAGCTGAGAAAAATAGCAGTCGGCCCTGCACCAGTGCACTCAGTAGCCACCATTGGATACTCGTAGCCAATACTGACCAGGAGAACCAAACAGTCATGCTCTGGAGAAATTGTAGCCAATATGGGAAGTGCCTGGGACCCCACTGCCCACTTGTTTGAAAGAACTCAAGAAAATGTCAGATCAAAGAAGTAAAAGGCAATCCCTGGGCTCCAACCCAAGCAGAGCAAGTCCAGGAGATGAAAACATGAAAGAGACCGGAAATTGCACACCTGAAGTTTCTGAAGTGATGGCAACTGAAGTAAAGAGACAACTTCATGAGGCTATAAAAGAAATTAGAAAAGAAATAGTATCTCAGGTAAAAGGAATGAAAAACAATAAAAGAATTACTAAGCATCTCTAAAGAAGACATTTTAAAAAAGCATAGGAAAATGATGGAAACCATGAATGAACAATATAAGAGAGATTTAGAATGCATGAAACAGATTCAAAGAGATATCCAGGAAATTAAAAACTCCATTGAAAGCTGGGAAAACTGCTTGAGAGATACTGAAGATAGACTTTGAAACCTTGAGACAGATGTGCAGCTTACAATCATGAAAGAAAGGTCTTAAAAATAACAAGGAACTAGGAAATAACAACTCGATGGCTAAAGGTGAAACAAAGCAAAATAAGAATAGGTGTCAGTGAAAAATCAAGAGTCAAAATAAATGACATTAAAATTCTATTTACAGAATTAATAGCAGCAGGAAACTTTCCAAACATGGGGAATAAGTGAGGCATGTAGAACTAGCTGACCATAACGAAAATAAACCTACACCCAGACATATAATAATCAAGAATCCAGGAATTCAGTAAAAGAACAGAATATTAAAAGCTGTTAGATCGGAAAGTAACATAACCTATAAAGGAAAACCCATCATCAGAAGCACAACAGACTTCTCAACACAGACTATCAAGTCAAGCAGAGCTTGGAGTGAAGGATTTCAAGTCCTGAAAGATAATAGCTTCCAACCCAAATTGATGTACCCTGCAAAGCTATCTTTCAGAATTAATGGAGAAACAAGGTACTTGCATGACAAGGAACAACTGAAGGAATTCATGACCACCAAACCAATCCTACAAAGAATACTAAAGGACATTCTAGAAAGAGAGAAAAAGACCATAGTTACAGAACAGCAGCAGAGGGGGATCACCCACTGGGGTGGGCAACTGAATGGAGGGGGAAAGTAGGCAGCCAGTGACAGGAAAATAGCATGGCAGAGAGGAGCCGGTGCATTTTGGCCATAACCATTCGTGTAGATGGGTTTGATTCACCAGTAAAAAGAATACAGGCAGAGTGGATCAAGAAATAAGATCCATCAATATGCTTTATACAGGAAACACATTGAACTCAAAAGGAAACTCAGACTAAAAGTTGAGATAATACAATGCTGTATGTGACAGACAATCAGAAAAAAAGTAGGGGTAGCTTGCCCATCAACTGCAGAATGGATAAGAAAGATACAACACTTTTATACAATGGAAAGCTTCTCGGCTATAAAGAAACAACCTCAAGGCTCTTGTAGATAAATGTATACAATTTGAGATCATGCTCATGGGTGAAGTGGTTCAGAGTCACATCAATGAACATCCTGTTGTCTCTCTAGCATAAAAACTTAGAGAGATAGTAAAATCCAAAATGCACAGTAGATGTTGTGAAGGTGAAAGGGGAGATGTCCGCAGCAGTGGCCATTGTTAATCTATTATCCTGTTTTGAAACTCTGTATTGCTTTCATTGTTCTGTTTAGCTTGGTTTTGTTCTGTTTGTTTTGTTTTGTTTTTTAGTACCAGGGATCAAATTCACCATCTTATGCTTTAGCAGGCAAGTGCTTTAGCCACTAAGCTAAATCCCCAGCCCTATTCTGTTTTGTTTTGTTTGATTTTATCATATTTGTTGGCATAGACAGCTATTTCAGAAATAACAAAATATAGTAGCCATTATTGATGTACAGTTATCTTGTTTTGAATCCCTGTATTGCTTTACTTGTTTTCTTTCTTTTGATTGGTTTTATTCTGTTTTGTAGTTTGATTTTATTATGCCTAATGGTATTAAGCAGCTACTTTGGATTTTTTTTTTCTTTTTTTTTTTATCTGTACCAGGGATCGAACTCATGACCACCTGCTTGCAAGGCAGGCTTTGAAGATAACAAGATACGTTATGGTAGCCACTGTTGTATTCCTGTTGTTTTGTTTTAAAGTCCTGTATTGCTTTCATTGTTTTGTTTTGATTGGTTTTATTCTGTTCTGTTTTGTTTGATTTTATTGTGCCTGATGGTATAGGAAGTTACTTTCAAAATAGCAAGAGACATCATGATAGCCATTATTGGCTTCCTTTTATCTTGTTTTAAAGTTTTATAACACATTCATTGTTTTGTTTTATCTCTATTCTGTTTTATTTCTTTCAGTCTTACTTTCTTCAAAATAAAATTTTAAAAAAGAAAGAAAGAAAAAATAAGCTCCAGTAGATATTGTCAGAAATTTTCAGTATTCAACATTGGTTTTGGAGGGAATTTGTTCGGGTTGTTTTGTTTTGTTTAGTTCATAGCAGTACAAGAGATGGAACCTAGGACCTTATCACTGAGCTATGTCCCTACACCCCCCAACCCTCTGTGCCATTTTTTTTGTTTTGTTTTGTTTTTGCATTCTTTTTTTTTTTTTTTTCCTGCACAATTTTTTTGTACCAGGGATTCAACTTAAAACCCCACCCTTGCCAGACAGGTGCCTGTGCCACTGAGCTATATCTCCAGCCCTTCATAGCCCTTTTTTTAATATTTTGAGATAAGATTTTGCTGAGTTGTGCAAGCTAGGCTCAAATTTGAAATCCTCTTTCCTTGGCCTCCCAGAGTATGGGGATTATAGGCAAGCATTACTGTGCACAGCTAGGTAGTGCTGTTGTAAAAGTGGTGTTGGACCATGTTTTAAACTTCTTTATCATTTTTTGGTGGTGCTGGGGATTGAGCCCAGGACACTGATCGTGGTATTTATGTACTCTCCCATAGAGCAGCACCCCAAACTGACTCTGTAAACCTAATACATTTTGTTGGCGGCAGGATTTGAATCCACATGTTTGAGAATGTTTGGGGTTCTGCCTAAGAATGAAGGCTTCTGTAAAGAGAGATGATGAAGAGAACACCTCAGAATGAGCTAGACCAGAAACATTTTTAAGACAGTGAAATTTTTAAGTGATTTTTAATAAAACTCTTCCCTTCTTAAAAAATGTTATTTCCAACCTAGATGTTTGATAGTAAGGGTTAAGGACTTAACCACAGGAGAGGTCATGAAGCATTTGCCTGGCTTGAGTGAGTCCCTGGGTTCAACTCCCAGTGCAGCAGAAACAAAGAAATAATCAACACATGTTGGTACAGCAGGATGTTATTTGCCGCTACTTGCGAATGATAATTTAAAAAATTAAGTCCAGGGGAAAATAATGTCTTGGAGGTAAAAACAAAATCAAAAGTAAAGTTTTTATGTCTAGGTGTAATAAAAACTTTTTCTGGTTATATTATGACTAGAACTGGAAGAGAATAGGGAAAAACTGTTGTTTGACTGTAGGGTTTTTCTTTATTGTTTATGTGTATTTAGCTAAACATTGTTTAGGTGGATTTTTGCTAGTGTTTTGGTTTTTGTTTGTTTGTTTTCTAGATGGAATTGAGCTCCGGACCTCTAACTTGCCAGGTGGGCCCTGTGCCACTAAGCTACATTCCTGGCCCCTTCTAGTGATATGATCATTTTAAAAATGTTCCCTATTACATTTAAATTACATACAGGGCCATTTTATAACCAGAAATCCAATATGTTTTATATGTTTTAACTTAAGAGAAAATGAATAATTATAATAGCTAAATATTTAGTGTAATTGTTTAATTCATTCTATATTAAACTAAGTTTATATTTTCAATCCTTTTTTTAGGTAGGTTTGAAAGTTGGTGTCCGAACCAGGGGCTGTAATGGCCTTTCCTACACTCTAGAATACACAAAAACAAAAGGAGATTCTGATGAAGAAGTTGTTCAAGACGGTGAGTGCTTGGCACACTTTCCCAGGTGCTTTTTCTTTCCTGAAATGTCCCACCTGCATGGTGTGGCACTCGAGGCTCAGAATGGGAATTGCAGGAGGGTTCCAGGTGAGAGGCACAGTGACAGATGCCATCAGAACTGTCCCCAGCAGCAAGTGACCTGGCACTCCCTGTCTTGTCAGTGGCCGAGTGAAACATAAACCCGAGACTGTGTTCTTAGGAACTAAGTAAGAGGTTACTGGATGAGCGTTTGTTTCAACGCTGAAAGCTCATCATCGTGTCCAGAAAAGTACTAGAGTCTCAACTTCACAGTGAACCAACTGGCCATTTTTGTGTGTATGTCAAGTAATGTCAACTCAGTGTTTTGAAGAATTTCTCTATCGGACTTTGAGTAAAGTTTTCAGTTTTTTCATGATTATATTTCACAGCAGCCCTATTCCAACCCAATGATATGATAGAAACCTGTCTACAACAAGATAAATAGTCCAACAGCATGGAGAGCCCACCTGCACTGGATGTGCAGTGGCGCTCACATGCCTGGAAGGTCCCTGGCCAGCTTGCAGCTATGCCTGTGTGTGAGAGTGAGGCTTGCAGTCAAAAGCCTGCTTTCATCTTACAAACTGAAGTCACTCATGAATAAAGCGTGTTTTTTAGACTTCTAAAAAATGTATCATGTTTAAGACCAACTCAAATCGTAAACCTTAGTATTTTCATCTTACAGGAAACCTGTAATTATGTATAATTTATATAATGTAATGACTCAATTGCTTATAAGGAGGAAAGCTTTTTTAATCTGATTATATGTGCCAACATGTTGACTTCTACCTACATAATTAGGAAACACGCTTTTTTTCAGCCTATAACCAGAATAGAACCATCATACTGATTATTAAAGTAATTCTGTTAAGTAGTCTTACTAAACATTTGTTTGCACAGTTTTAGGCTTGACATTGTATTGATTGAGAGTAAAAATAAGATAGCATTGCAAGGTTTCTATGGTATTACTGACTCCATCTTCACAAAACTGTCCATGAGGGGCTAGGCTCAGGAAGAAAATGCTTGCCTAGCATGCCCAGGGGCCTGGGTTTGACCCCAGCACCACAAAGACAAAACTATCTCTGAAAATAGCATTTTTTCATGTTACAAACTGAAGAAAATAAATGAGGACAACCAAAGACAAGCTGTAGTTTTGTACAGTGTTGTCATGAAGTTGACATGTGTAAAACAGTCTGTGACCTCATTGGTTTCGACAGAGAGTGGGGAAATTAGTGCCTGCCCCTCTCGAGGTGTCAGGAAACCCTTGAGAAGCTTCCTGTTGACTTTTGCTAGTGGCTGCTCTTTAAGGTTCCCTTGTGCTTTGAGTCAGCAGATTGCATAGGCTGTGGGCTTCGTATGACTCATGTTTTCTTTCCTGAAGGAGTCAGAGTGTTCATCGAAAAGAAAGCACAGCTGACACTTTTAGGCACAGAAATGGACTATGTTGAAGACAAATTATCCAGTGAGTTTGTCTTCAATAACCCGAATATCAAAGGAACTTGTGGCTGTGGAGAAAGCTTTAATATTTGAAACCTCAGGACTCTTGTGGCCGTGAAGACCAGGCAAGCTTCCGGGAGCCTCGGAGCGTACTGAAGAAACCATGGGACTGTCAGTGCTTAAGGCTTGTAATGTGTGGCCTCCAGATGGGGAAAATAAAGTGATGCATTTTGAAAATGAAGCCAGTGTGTTAGATTCCAGAAGATGTTTATATTTTCCATGAGGGACAGAAAATGAGAAGCCATTACCCTCTTTGGATCACTCATTATTCTATAAAAAAGATAAATTCTGCCCTGCACTTAACTCTGACATACTTGGTTAGAACCAGTTTTGTGAAAATTGCCTTCCTGGAAGGAGTTGAGGAAGCGGGTGAATTGGTGTCCGATCATTAAATTATTATTGGCTCACATCTCCCTCAACATTTTCCCAACCAGACTGACAGCTTCTAAAAGTCAGGCCACGAATCCTGCCTACTGATAGTAACTTGGTGGCATAGTGTTTTTTTCTGCCCAAACCTGTCATAGCTTCTTCCTTTTTCTTGAGATGAGGCCATGCCCTCCTGCATAAGCCTCCAGAGTCACTGGATTACAGTGTGCACCACTACAATGTCATTGTTAAATGCCACGGTGTGCCCTTAACAATACCAGGCAAGGATTCCCTTGCACCGTACCACAAGTTGGTTCTGAGGGGTGGTATCAAGAGGTGAGAAAGACTTCCTTGCCTTGTTTTTAACCCATTTCTTTTGCCATACTACAAGCATCCAGAAAGATAGTACCCCAAGCTGACTCAGAGACCTTCCTCTTAGCTAGAGGGTTTCTTAAAAGCTGGAGCCCACCACCCGCCTCAGCTCCATTGCTCAAGACACAACCCTAGAGAAGCCCAAGACTTGCATCTGCACCATGCTGCAAGCCAGAAAAGAGCTGACGCTGTGCCCAGGTCCCCCACCCAGGTAGGTGACACCTCTGTCCACCCCAGCCAGTCTGGCTTCTTCATCTGGTCAGCATTTGGGTAGCTTGTTTGTAATTTAATGAAGGTCATATTAGTTTAGTTTAATCTTGAGAGGGAAAATCTTGTTTCAAAAGCCTTTTGTATGAATTTCCTTTGTATTTCTTTGAGCTTGGAAGCATTGGTTTGTATCAACAGAGAAGATACTGTAGCAGCTGAGAATGCTTTCTTCAGAGTGTATAGTAATTGTGAAGCAATTCTTTTAATTCCCAGTATGTGACCTTCTTGTACCTAAGTCCAGTTGTTAAAATATGTAAACTTTTCAACTTAATATATCACCTTTATCACCAACTTTTCTTTTAAAGGCCTCCTGCTGTCTCTTAGTTTATTGATTTTGCTGAAATCCACATAGTAAGTACACTGAGATGGCATATATGCTTTTTTTGAAAGCTGATTCTCATGAATTACAGTAGTGAGTTTATTCATCCTGTTTACTAAAATACCTACATAAAATACACCAAAACTTGGAGCAGTAGTTTTATGTAAATGTTCATGAGTTTATTATCATTAATATAATTATTGATCCATTCATACTTTGTGCAATAATGTATGTAGAGATTGAGTTACCAATTAAAAACTTTGACCTCTTTATGGTCATAAAAATGTGTTTTCTTGTTTGGAGGAATAGCCACTAACCCTGCTGAAGAGTAACTGCTGTATTTTCTGCTCAATTTCTACACAGCCCCATGAGACTGATCTCAAGTTGCTCTTATCTCCCTGAGTGCACTTCTTGCCCTCGCTTTGTAATGCCCGTCCAGGGTGCCTGCTTCTGCTCCTGCCCCATACCAGATTGCTTTCTTATCCCCAGGAAAGAGCAGGACCCCACCAGGAGGGCTCATCCCGCTGTCATCTAAGCTTCACATTCACTTCTTGTCCATAGAGGTTCTGAGGGTTTGCTTCAGGGACAGTAATGAGCACTAGCTCCACTCTTTCTGAAGCTTCCCAGATAAAGGCTGCCCAGCCTTGAGATACGAGAGCTGACTCCTGAGACACACACAGCCCCAGGGTACCCATCAGCATTGTAAGCATACTTACTGTTCTCCATCACCCCCTGGACAGCTGGCAGGTGGGTCTGACTGCCATCTTTTTTGCGTGAGATTCCGAAGCACAGGAGTAAAATGTTCACCTTAATGGCCTGGTCTGCATTAATACTCTGCTTTGTAGGGGAACAGCCCCTGTGCTTTCCCTTGAGATGCAAATGGGAGGGGTGCACCTGTCTCAGGTATTCTAGAGGTCATGACAAGCCTTAAAAGATGAGATTTGAGGGGAAGGGAAGAGAATGAATTAAACTAAGGTAAAAACTTGGAAGAATAAGGCATTCAAAGGGGCAATGGTGAGGGGGGAGGTGGGGTAGAGGGCCAGGGAGCCCCAGCGCTGCTCGGGAGTGGTTTATGAGGGAGTCCTGAGAGACGCTTCATGGCAGAGCAAGGAGTGGGCTGGAAAAAGGGTGCATGAGCAGAAAGCCCCAAGGAGGCCCTGCTGAGGACTAGGAAGGTGCACAGGGGACTGCCCAGCTCTAGCAGGACTGCTGCTTTATAACTTGATACTCCCGTATCTCAGTTATTTTCTCTTGCTGCTGAGACCAAAATACTTGATACAGTTAAGGGGGAAAAGTTCATTTGGCTCACTGTCTGTAGAGGTTTCAGGGCATAGGGCTAGCTTCAAGACAGGGTAGTATGGCAGAGGAGAAACAGTCTGTGGTGGGCAAAACGTAGCAAAATGCTGCACCACGCAGTCTAGATGCAGCCACCTCTGAAAAAGCCCCACCTAGTACTTCATGAGGCTTTGGGAGGAGAGACACAGATACAGAACAACACTAGTGTAAGCAATATATAGAAATTCTGCTGTATTTTCTTCAAATGTAATACTGTATAATACTGAAAAATGTTTTTGAGGCAAAATCTCTTTCTGTGTTCAGTTAGCAGCAGGCACATCATTGTTTTCTGGCACATGGCTCTGCCCTACAGTCATACCAGTCAAGTGGTGAATCCTGACCTGAAGCTTCTGCCAGTGCTATGCCCCACTGAAGTCCCAGGGGCCCCAGGTGAAGACAGTTGATAGTTGGAGGAGGAGTAGATCTCAGAGGAGAAGCCTGCTTTTCCTGTTAGAACACTAAACTGAAATGTCCAGGCCACCTGGTTAAACATACCCCTCGGCTGAATTTGAGGAGAGCCTCCTGCTGTGCTTCATTGTTAGAGTATCTTCCAGCCCTGTTGCTGCACAAACAAGAAGCATTGCTTTTATCAAAGAGGGAAGGAGGGTAGAGGGTTAGAGAAACCCCTGAAGATCAGAGGCCCCTAAGATTGCCAGTACTTCCTTGGATTCATTCATTAGGAAATGCCTTAAAAATGAACCTTTCGGGGGCTGGGGATTTAGCTCAGCAGCATAAGCGCCTGCCTTGCAAGCAGGCAGTCGTGAGTTCGATCCCTGGCACCGATAAAAAGGAAAAAGACAAAAAAAAAAAAAAAAAAAAATGAACCTTTCTTGTCAAATTGGGGTACCCAAGCGATTGGGAAATACAAAGGTGTGATATATGGTAAGCTATGAACTCTCCTTTGAGACTCAGAGTGATGTGACACAAGCCAAAAACTGCATCTACTCAGAGTCAGCACAGCAAATCCACAGGGCTGCGGGGCCCAGCCCTGTAGGCCTGGAAAGGTGAGGTCTGGGGGGAAAGAGCCTAGATTCCAACTGTGGCTGCTGTTGTTTTGAACTGCTGTGGCCTTCCAGCCGTCTTGCTTCTCCGGAGCACTCACTACATGTAAACCCATCCTGCTAGGAGTAGATGCTCAGTGGATTGTAGTGTTTGTTTTTTTGACCCATTGCCCATGTCACACAGGATAAAGTCTACAGCTGATCAGTGAGAAAACAAAGGTTTAACACAACCTGATAATTATTGTCCCATGTTAGAATCTTGAGAAACATGGCTGTATTTCTTTCAGATTTTTGACCATGGTGGCTGTCTTTGTATACTTAGTTTATATAATGAAATCACAAAGAAATTTCAGTCTCACAAGCTGATTACCTGCCTTACCAAGGAGCTGTTTTGAAAAGCTTGCTCCCCATAGAACTGTGCCTCACCAGACTGGCGAGCACAGGCGAAGGAGAACCACTTCTGCCAGGCTGAGCCTGCACAGGTGGTGTGCTCCCTGGCCCTTCCTCCCTTGCTGTCTTACGGAGTCTTCAGCAAGGTAAGGCTGCAGGGTGATGCAGCTGACCTAGGGCTCTGAGCAGTGCGCTATCCTCCATGGCCCAGGTGGGATTCCTTTACTTCCCTTACCAGGAAGTTCTCATACACTGTTCTCCAGGACTGTCTGCTGGAGGTTGAACCCAAGCCTCAGGGCATGCCAACTGCTGTATTCCCAGCCCGGATTCAGGGTTTGAAGCAGTTCCCAAACTTCCAGGTACGAATCAATCTTGGAGATTTTGCTCGAAAGCAGATTCTAATAGCTAAAAAATTAGGGGGTACAGGGGAGATTCTGTGTTTCTAGCAAAGGCCCAAGGGAAACTACCATTGTTGCTCTGTAGACCACCTTTGAATAGCAAGGTTTGAAAATATTCTCTCCAGAAGAACCTGGTTGCAGTAAACCACCATTTGTACATACATTTGTCTGTACTAAGCCCTAACCATGGTGGTCAGGGTGTTTTGGTTTTTTTCTTTTTTGTTTATGGTACTAGAAATTGAACTCAGGGCCTTCACACTGAACTACATCCTCTTACCTGATTTTTAGTTTGAGACAGGATCTCACTAAGTTGCTGAATTGCCCAGACTGGGCTTGAAATCCTTCTGCCTATGTCTTGATGAGTGCTGGGATTGCAGGCATGTGCCACCAGGCTTGGCTTGTTCAGGATTTCTGATAACATGCTACCAGGAGATGACATCCAGAGCAGGATGGTGTGACTCACACTTTTAATTTCACAAGTGCTATCCAAGCAGAGCATCCCTTGTCTCGGTGCTAGAACCAGGAGTTTCAGGCAGTTTGTACTTAAGAGTATTACAAATATGTAATAGCTGACTGCCTTTTTGTCTGCAGTCCTGGGCACTAAACCCAGGGCCTCGTGTGCTGCACTGAACTATATACCCAACTCTAGATTTAGAAGTAGGGTCTCGGTAAGTTGCCCAGGCTCATTCTGAACTCTTGATCCTCCTGCCCAGCTACCTGAGTAGCTGGGATT